AGCCTCCTCTAGCTCCCTGATAGACGCCTCTCTCCCTCTTTTTGTTTTCTTTGTTGACTTCCTGTCCTCCCCCTTCGTGTGCCCTGAGTTGAGTAGAGCGAGATAACGATGAAATGTTGCGCTGTTATTCCCCCACAATGCATTCACCTCAGCGGGGTCCTTTGAACTTCCCTGCTGGCCTCCAGGTAGTGACCGAGTCATTTGACACCTGAAGGTGAGTCAGGAGTCAAAGGTCATAAAGGAACCCTGTAGGAGAGTTTAGGTGGTAGATCACAAAGCTGCTGTCGTACTGTAGATACCGTTTTGGGGGTGCTGTGATTATTTGTTATTTTCATCAGATGATTTATTTTAAAGAATAGTGTGACATTTTGGGAATATTCTTATTCCATTTCTTGCTCATAATAAGAAGATTGATACCATTCTCATGTCTGTGCGTGAAATATGAAACTACAGTTTGTGCCACTTATGTATTAATGTTCACGTGACGTTACATAAGCCTCCATTTCTCTGGTAAAATAAATTCTGTTCGCTGAATAGTAAAAGCAATTTTTAACTTGTTTCGCCAGCTGTGACTTAGGAAGTGACTTTGGAAGCGGGTAAAACAATATCTTTGGTCGTGAGGCAGATACAACACTAATACCTGAGAAGCACAAGCTGGCGTTAGCTACAGCTACGTAGCTTAGCATAAAGACTGGAAACAGGTGAAAACTGGTCGCCTGGTTCTGGCTCTTGTTCCCAGTAAAGAATTAGTCTCGCATACATATATAAGACCCAAATTGTTGTTTTACACTTACTTTTTTTGTGCATTAACCAAACAAGATTTAACGTGTTAAATATTGAGCGTTCTAGGCAAACTTTGTTACCTTTTGACAAAGCCAGCCCATCTGTTTCCTTCTGTTTCCAGTCTTTGTGCTACGCTAAGCTAAACGACTTCTGGCTGTGGCCTTCAGGCTTGAGAGCAGTATTGGTTTTCTTTGCAAAAACAGCTAAAAAACATATTACCCGAAATGCTGAACTATTGCTTTGAATGTTTGTTTTTTTAATGGTTTATTCAGTTATTTTCAGTGTGTTTTTCATTTTTTTATGATGACTTTTTATTACATAAACCACGAATGTTCATAGTTTTAACTGCTTCAAACCCTTTTTTCAGATGGCTACGCCTTCTCTCAAGACGAGAACGGAGTGGTGTCTCAGTCCGATGTCATCAGAGCGTACGACACCACCAAAGAGAGGACCAACGAGTGGTGAGCCGCCGGTCCTCTGGTCGGCCAATCCGGAGCCACAACAGCCGATTCTACTGGCGAAAATTGAAGCTTAGCGGGAGGAAAGAAGAGGTGCGAACGTGTGCCTCCAGCACTGAAGGGATATTTGGACATGAATAAGAAATGGACAGAAGAGTGTGTCTTTGAAAAAGGGAAAAAAAAAAACAAGGAACGTACAAATTGTGTTCACTTATCAGCTGTCGTCGTGTGTCCAGCAGACATAATGAGCACTGTGCTTTCTTAGCAGTCTGTGGTCTGAAGTTCTTCACTGTTCTCGCTCAGTTTGTTGGAGTGAACGTCTCTCCTCTCTATTGAAAATCATTTAATTATATTAAAATCATACTCCTAAACACTTGTTGTAGAAGTTAAAACACTGGACGATGATTAGTTTTAGGGGATTTCAACTTGTGAAAGATTGCCAAAGAGCAGTCGTATATACAATCTTCCAAGTACTGGTGAATTCGGAAAACTTTAAACCAAATGTAATCGCACTCCTGAGTGTATTCCAGCACTAACCGGACCACTTCAGAGCAGACATTGTAATATTTATATTTTCTTTTTGCACTTAAGGAAGCATCTATTGTGTAAAGCCTTGCATTTACTCATGCCTTCATCCTTGCTTCTTTTAAAACACATTTGTTTCTTTTTTCTTCTTTTTTTTAAAGTATGTAGATATCGTGCCTGGTTTTCTTTGTTTATTTTCCTTCTTAATTCTTTAAGAAGTTGCCTCCTGCAACTCACCGTAGTCCTGTTTCCACCGTTTTTTACAGCAGAAGCATTGCTTGTGACAAATAATTGCATTCCACACATCACTCCTGTCTCAACAATCACGACGGTGCCTACGTAGAACCTTTCCCTCATAGAAGAAGAAGATAGCCAAGAATAGTTTAGCCAGCTAGCTTAGACCAGTGTTCCACACACACACACACCAACTGAATACTAAATCACTGTCTCCCCACCACAGTCTTGCACTCGTACAATGTGAAAACTACAGAGTGCCTTGTGGCACGTGAATAAACTAAGATTTGTTCCTGCAGAGGTGAACGGGAGGCTCTCTGGTCTTGTTTGAGCTCACAGTGGTGACAGTGTTTCCCTTAAAATGGAGATTTTATCCTTCTAACATAAGTGCCATTAGCTTAATAAGGGGGAGAGAAATATTAGCCAGGAAAACTCCACGACAATATCAAAACTACTTTGTCTCTATAGTTATTTTGTGGATTTGTATTTTTATATTGGAGATGTATGAATTTTGCATTGACTGGCTTTGTAATGAACTGTCTGTAACTTTTTGTTTTTTTTTCTTCCTCTGATAAACTGGCAGGATAGAATAGATCGAATGAGGTAACTGAGCTTTCTTAAATGTCTTGTTGTTAATATTAATATTGTTCCAGCTTGATTTATTTATAATTGACTACTTAATGTCTGTGTGATTGCTTTCTTCTCCCTATGGGAGATCAGATCTCTGACGGTGTGTGTGAGTCAGTTTCTTGCCTGCATGTGCATGTGCTGTATGTATGCGCTGTATGTATGCGCGTGTGTGTGTGATTGTGTGTGTTTGTGTCACCTCTACTGTGGATAACTTCTATGTATGCATTGCATGTCTGTGTCCTCTATGTGAGATTTGGAGTTTCTGGCGTCTCCCGGTTTGTTTCTTTTGTCGTGTGTGTGTGTGAGAGAGTGAATGTGTGTGTGACTTGCTCCAGTTGTCCTTCTGCACGACTCCAGGTATAGCTATGTTGTACTGCTGTGTGCTGATGCATGGCCCATATGGGAGAGAGAGTGTGTGTGTGTGTGTGTGTGTGTGTGTGTGTTAGTGTGCAGAATGACTGTGTATGTGATCAAACTCTCGACCTCGACTGTGAGAGTTTCTGACGCTCAGCTCGCTTCGACAGGAGATGTTGCACAATGCACTCGATGTACCTTTCCAGTAGTGGATATCTGGTATTATCTGGTTTCAGTATATCATTTCTCTTGAGTGTAAATGTTTGTAACTTGTTTTCTTCATGCAGTGTACCTCTGCTTTACAGGAAAGCTCTTTACTGAGGGTTAATGATTCTTTTTCTCTGCCGGTCTTTTAGTGTAAAAACTTAATTGGACGTCATCTTGTCAAAAGTTTCCAAACCGCTGAATGTGGATGTAGACTGTCGCTTTCTTTTTTCAGAAAACATAAAACACTCGTTGTCTGTGAAAGTCGTGGGCTGCATGAATGGATAACACAAACTGTTCTCTGAAATGTTTAACTGTACTACTTTGATTCTCCCTCAAGTGTTGATCACTTAACAAAAGAGGAAAAAAAAAGCGCACCTTTAACTTTACTTTAATGTTTGGTTCTTTTCCGTTGTTTTGTTCGATGATTGTTCTGCATGTTGGGACTGCAAACTTATAAGTGTTGTCTTTTACTGCCATGAAGGACTACTGAAATAAACTTTACAATCCTGGAGGATCAATGTAAACACAGTTGCTTATTGTCGTGTGTGTTTGGAGGTTTGTTATCACTCTGCCATTGTGTGTCAACAAACGGTACATTGAGAACATGATCAGCAAAGGGCGGGGAGAACAAGTCTGCCTGGTGGCCATACATTTTAAAGACCAAACAATAAGTCGAGATAATTGTCTGATAAATCAATAATAAGCACAATGAGTACTATTTATAGATTGTACAAAAAGAATCTCTCAATCATAACTTCTGTATTAGAAGTGTGATGGTGTCTGTACCTGCAGAGACCCTTCCCTCTGCCTGTATTGTTTCTTTTCATTTTGCTGTGTTTGAGACGTTTGTGGGCGTCTTATCTCTATAAAAGCGTAGCAACCAGGTGACGTATCGTAAGCAAAAATGGCAAACGCAGCACTGAACATCCGACAAATAAAGCGTGGTGAAACGCAGAGCAAACATGCTGACAACGGTGTTAAAAATATGTTTTGATTTCACGACTTTAATGAGGTCTTGATCTCATTATCACAGTAACTTTAATGTATGATGGATTTAGTTACGAGATAAATGTTTGCAGAGGTTTTGGACCCAGAAAAAAGTTTTAATTTCGATTAAAATCTGTGAGACAGAATAAAGTCAAAGCCTTCCGTGTGAGCAGTAATAATCACAACTCTAAACTTGGAAAAGAAACTGGAAACTTTTTTGAAGCCTGGCTAAGACATGAAAGTATTGTACCTATCCGAATGTTTTAGGAAGTGTCAGCAAAACGTGTTCATAACTTGTATTTTTCTTTTTATTAGCAGAGTGTGGAACATGAGAACTTAAGTCTGAACCGACAGCTGTGAGTATAAACGAGCCCTGAAGAAGTTAACAGTGGAATCTGTCAAGTGAGTTGTGTTTTGTGATTGAACAGTCTGTTGATAACAGCGCAGCAGCAAACATCGTGAGACTGAACCGTTTGCCGGTTTCATGAGACGCTGATTGCCGAGTCTATTTCACAGTCGGATAACTGGAGAACAGAAAAGTCTTTGTTGAGGTTTTGCGATACCTGTTGGTGCAACCTAAACCTCTATTTCTGGGGCGAGTTGTTTTTAACACTGTGACCATGCCATGCTCATTGAGCACTGACAATGACTGATCTCAGCGCTGCATTCCTGCTGTGAAGTCTGCCGCAAGAATGAGCGACAGGTAGTGAGCTGCTGTGCAGGACCGACCGCTCCGGTTTCCTTTTTCGTCTGATTGATGATGAGGCTTCTTTCACAGCACAAAAACGTAATTTAACAGGCATCATATTAGTGCACAGGAGGTACGGAGAGGCAACATTTTATTCGCTGTAAGTTAGGGAATCAATATGACAACCCTGCTCTGGGTACAATGCCTGTACAACATCTTATAAAAGTCCACATTTCCTCCTAAATATACTGTCCTTTGTATATCAGGTCCACCCCTCATTCAGAGGTCCTTGCGATTGTCAAAAAACACAATATTTCCCTGGTTTCCAACATCTATTTCTAATAATGTAACAATGCTCAGAGTGACAGTGTTGGTGCCGTTTGCCTGTGCAGTTTGTTTTCAGAGGAAGGTTTGTGATTAAGAGTTTAGTCTGTATTGTGAGCTGTCTGCTTAAAAAAAAAACAACCTGTATAAAAATAAAATGTAAGGCCAGTGAGGACTGTTTACAATTTCAGCTAAAAGTGCACAAGTTTCAACACTGTTGCTGCCTCTAACAGGTTTGTTGAACTCTGATGTGTCCTGTGATGCAGAAGGGGGAAACTCCTCAGGCCGTGCAGCTTTGTCGTACTTTATCCCTCGTCCTCCTGCCGCTCTCTCTCTGTGTCCGTTCAGACGGCCTGGGCCTTCCACCCAAACACCACCAGCTGTGATGCAGAGTGTTTGCCGGCTGACATCCAACCATCTAAAAAAAAAAAAAAAAAAAAATCTTGTAATCCCTCTATATTTCCCCCCCCCCGCTGGGAGACGTGTCAGCTCTGTCCGAAGTCGGCGAAGCCCTTGGCCGCTGAGAAGGCGTCTGGCTGCAGGGGGAAGAAATACTGCTGTGGCAGAAGGAAGGTCTGAGAGGACATGGAGGGCTGGTGGAGCTGCAGCTGGGTGTGGGTGTGGGTGGAGGCCAGTTGGTGCTGCATGCCTCCTGACATGGGTGCTGGTGGGGATGTGTAGGGAGGGGGCGGTGGCGGAGGCAGAGTCTGAGGGGTCTGAGTTGGGGTGGAGGCTGACGAGGAGACGGTGGCAGACACCAGGCAGCCGTGCTGCTGCCCCTGACCTCCGAGAGAAAACCTCCGCATGGAGCTGCCCCCTCCGGCCGAGCTGGAGCTGGTGGTGGCCGTGCTGGACTGTCGCGACGGGGCACGGAGGCTCGGGGGAGCGGAGGTGAGGATCATGGGAATGGTTTCGCCCTGGCAGCTACGCAGGGAGAAGCGAATGGGCTGCTGGGTCGGCTGCTTGGGCCGCAGGCAGGTGCAGCAGTAGACGGCCACCAGAGAGCCGACCACGACGAAGGCGACGAAGATGCTCCCTACCATTAGGAAGGGCACGTAGATGGGCTCTGAGGGGGGAGGAGACACAAGCAGGTTAGGATCAATAATGCGGAAGCAGCTTCATGTGATAGAAAGCTGCAGGTTATTAATATGTATCTACATGTAGGAAAACATTGACCACCGTTGGTGTTCTGATTTTCTATTTTCACTGCCCTGGAGACCAAAAAATAACTAATTTAACTTAAATAAATCAAAGATATTATACAGTATTTTACTTTGACTCCACTATTTAACCTTTACAAGCACTATATAAACATTTAGTAAATGTTGTATGACATGTTTTATATGATAACTGTTTTACTATATTGTCATTCATTATGTTTATACACCACTTGTGGATGCTTACAGGAGGAGTTATAGTTGTTCAGAAATACAATAATAAACACTTACATCTGCTTACAACTAGAGTATAGTGCGTCATAAAACATGAATGTTTATGTAGTGCTTATGAATCCTAAATAGAGTAGTTAAAGTTAAGTTTGACCTTGTTGGTGACTAAAACCTCCAGCCTGCACGGATGTTTATGGTGACTAAAATTGTGAAACTGAACATTATTTAATGAAGTTATTTCTTTAAATTCCTTTACAGTATTATTAACAAAACTTAACGGACACATTCCTTCTGGACAATACAAACAGCGGAGGTTACGCTCTGTGAAGCCCATTTGCACTTTGGGAGGAAATCAGCGAATGTTTATTTATTTTGATAGGAAAAAATTAGGAAATTGTGAGCACAGTCCATTCAGTTAAGGCCCCATAGCTTATCAGTTCGGGAAATTTAAAGAAAACTTTGAAGAAAAATAAAACCTTGAGGGTTAAAGTGACCTTTTATTTAAGATTTCACAACTCGGAGGGTTAACGTAACATTTGAGCCTATTAAAGGTTTAAAGAAGTTAAAGATAATTTGTTGCTGTCTCATTCAGTTGTGCTTACATTGGTTGGCAAATCCAAAGTCAATGTGAATTTTTTGTTTGGCAGCACAATGAAGCGGCTTGTGTAAGAAGGTTTTGAATACATTCCTGCATTCTGATCCAGCTTATCTTTTGTTTTGTGAGTTTTGTGCTTATTTCTGCTCAAGGATTTGTAAAGAGTAAGTTTGAAGAACATTTGTTGAGTGACTGACGGGCTGCGTCCCCCTAGTTCTTCTCTACACCGATAGTGATCTGTAGTGAGTTCGGGTCAAATGAAGCCACAGGAGCTGAGATAACAAGGTGCTGGAAACTGGACACTTTGCTTGATTAATGCTGGAAATACATGAAAGCCTTAAAACACAGTAACTGGAAATACAAAACTTTTGTAAAACACATCACAACTTCTAAGAAAGGTGTCTTTAGTTTTTTCTTTCCTGCAACTTTCCTATTTTACAATTCAACACACTTCAACATTTTGTCCTCAAAATGTGTTTGTCCTTGTTTTCCCAAAGAACACATGTATTGGTGTCTTGTTTGAGTAGATGAACCAAATATTTAGCATAATGTCACTTTTCTCATAATTTCATATGACAGCAGTCTGTCTGCTCTGGTGGTTGGACACTAAAGTGTCCTTGGGCAAGGCACTGAAACATGTATTATTTAGTGTTTATTGATTTTGTTCAGCTGACCTCTGACCTCTGTAGAAACCTGTACTTTATATTACATTTAGGTTGAGACTGAACTTCTGTAGCTGTTTGTGTTTGCACCCAACCGAATTCAACTCTGAACTAATTAGAGAAGTTTTCCTGAACACTAAACTTTCGGGAATGCACATTTAAGTCGGTAAGCTTAAAACCACGACACTTACGCGCTGCGAACTCGATGTTGTCCACCTCCCTGTCGTTGGTGCAGCCGCCCTGGTCCAGCCGTGCGTCCGCGGCCGCGCAGCAGTAGCGCAGCGAGCAGGAGCCGCAGCACACAGTGGCGTCCATGGTGTCAAAGTCCTCCGGACACTGGAAGCCATCATGATAATTCCCATTAGCGTCCAGCCAGCCGTGACAGTACTCCCCCTGTGCGTCCGATATCCGCAGATTCCAGGTCAGATATCCCAGCAGCAGGCAGTTGAGCAGGCACACCATCCCGGCAAGCCGCTGGGGGTTCACGGTTCCCTGCGTCCGGTGGGCTTCAGCTCCGGGCCACGGAGTGTGTCGGGTCCGGGTTAGAGGCTCTTCATTGAGATGAATTCACTGAAAGAGAAACGCGGCGATCCGGAGACCTAAACTTATGTCACCGTCATAATTCCCACCATCCAAACCGTTCTGAGCCAAAAGTTCCCAAATTGCAATGCGAGCAAATCCTTGATTGAACCTTCTCTTCAAGAAACCTCTTAAAATATCACCAGGGAACTTTCTTCTCATCCAAACAAACTGCTCCGGGCTCCTGAGGTTGTTTGTTGATGTCGGTGCAGGAGTTGTGCGCCCACCTCACTGGAGAGTTGCTGCTTTTGTGACTCTAGCTGTGCACGCGCTCACGTAATTCCCATTGACCGGACGTGCGCGTCCGCGTGGTGGTGGTGGTCGTGGTCGCAGCGGTGCCGATTACCACGAAAGTACCCAAATAACGTGCATAAATGATCTTTACGAGTTTATTGCATGAGTGGAGACCCAGAGTGCTGCAGCTGTACTGAATTAAGATCGACCTGCAGTTTGTGTTCATCATCATGTTTGACATTTATAATGTTTATAGTTTTATTTATGGCGTGTGTTTATAATACTTGATACTACGGGCACTACAGGTTGTGGTTGATCAAGTATGTTCAGCAAAAACAAGCACAGCCTCACTTTAATGCATATTATTAATAGATCTGTGGCTACTTCAAGGAGAGGAAGAAATTTAAGGCAGTTCAAACTTGTGATTTAAATACTTGTTGTCTGACACTGCATTCAGATGCTCCATTGTTGTCTGAAAATATGCTTACTTGATTTGATCATTTATGATAATCACCATTTAAAGTGCATTATATCAGCCTATCAATACTTTATTCAGATCATTCCTTTATATAGACCTTTTCATCTTTCATAATTACCAATACAGACATGTTGTTGACTAAGCACTTGTATGTGTTTTGATATTACGCAGAAGCAAAAACTACCGACCTGTCTGGCCTGTTGAAAATGAGAGTAAAAACGTGTATGTTAATTAGCAGCAGGTCTTTTCGTCCCTCCATTTAGTAAATCTTTTTGTAATCTACTGATGTGGCGCCCCCATGTGTTGCTGCAAACTTTTAGGCCTGCAGGCTACCAGACAGAGCTACGCTAAAATGATTTCAAACATGAGGCCAATTCAGATTTGAACGGTAAGACAGCTGGCCTTTTCACCACTTTAAAGAAAAATAAACTTAAGTAAGGATCCGAAGAATAAAACCTGTATAAAATCATATTTTTTATCATAAATCTTTTTAGCAGTTTATTTTATTCAGTTGTATTGTTCCAATTATAGCTATGGTTTCAAATAGTTAGAAAAAGCAACAAAAAAACAACAAGGATTAGCTCAGTATTCTTTATTTGATTATTTGCTCATTTTGAGATGTCTGGGTGTGGATGGCCTTTTCTTTCATTTGCGCTCATGTTGCTTTGTTTATGCTCTGAGCTCAGTAGCAAAATGGCCTCTGCCTTTTCATTTGTAGGATTTCGTTCTGCGTTTTTTTTTTCATTTCCAGATTGTACAAATGCCATAGCGCCCCGTTGTTCTCTGTGTGGATGGGGGCTACAAAGGAGGCAGGCAGCGGCGCACAAGTCCCGCCTGTATTTCCCTCTGGGGGAGTCTCAGTGTCGGCGCTCCCGACTGGGGATTGGAGCGGCGGCTTGTCAGTAAATGAGCCCACCCTTCGCACGGTGTGTACGAGGGAAACGGAGCCAGACAGTGACGGATCTGATCCGCCAGCCTGTCACATCAGCGCGCCGCGACACCGATCCCGGAGCCCGTCCGCCGCGCTGTGACACCTGGCTGGGATGGAGGGAGAGATGCAGCCCGCAGATGAAGGGCCATGCGCCCCGAAGATGTGCCGACAACAACGGGGTCCGTACAGCACCCTGAAAACCTTCCAGAGCAAGCGCTCGGCGGGCAAGTCGCGCTTTGACAGGTCCGCTGTGGCCGAGGTGCCTCTGTTTGGCGACGGACATCACTTCACTTTCCATCCCGAGCAGCATCATCGTTTCCAGCCCCACCACCATCACTACAACCAGCGTCTGCAGCAGCCCCACCAAACCAGCGCCGCTATCAGCAGCAGTCAGCAGCATCACCCGACGCCTCAGCAGCAGCAGCAGCAGCAGGATCGTTTCCCATGTGAGAACAGGCCCAGCAGCAGGGTCCCGACATCCACCTCGGCGGCGGCGGCAGCATCTCCTGGTACCCAGCAGCGGCGCGCCAGCAGCGGCACAGCGGAGCCCAGATTCTCCCCAGACTGCACCTACGGTATCAGCTCAGGTGGGTTTCAAACTTGTTCAGAGTGATGAGAGTGACTCCTGGTCATGTGTGCGGGTCTGCTCCATCTCTAAAGCTACTTTTAGTCATTTGGATTTGGGATGGTGATACTTTTTCTGAGCTACACGTCCTCAGATTTTCCGGATTCTGGTGTATATTTAGAGTTTTTGCTGCCCAGATATCTGTGCATTAAGCCTCTACAGAGTCAATAAACTTGAATGGAACACAACAAATTATGTCATTAATAGCAAGCATCTCCTTTGTTCACGTGAGCGTCATGTTTTTGTTCCCGTTTCTTCCTCTTTTTTTCTTCCTGTCAGCAGTGATTGATTTGCTGCTGTAATGAGAGCAGTCATGATTGAATCTCCAGTGTGCATGTGCTAAAAATGAAATTGGGTAATTGTCTGTGTGTGTGTGTGTGTGTTGATTTGTGAGTTTTTTTGTATGTGTCTGTGTGCAAGAAGGGCCCTCTGCTTGAAACACATTGTTCCATGCTAATTTTTCTCCTCAGCTGCGGTTCATTAGTGGGCTGTGTGCAGGCTCAGGAAGAAATGTGTTCCCTGTGTGGAGGGCGGGTCCATGGGAACCAACATTAAGATGAAAGCAATGAACCTAATCCTGACAGTTACGAAATTAAACATTACATCTCCTCCTCCCAATCAGATAGTAATCTCTTTATCACTGCTGGAAGCAGAGGCTCAATTTGCTGCTGGTGATTGTTGCTTTACAGAAAATCCAGTGTTCAGTCCGAGCTCAGGTTGCACTGTATTAACTCGCCTGCATGAGAATTAGCAAATGTAATCTAAAATCAGGCATCTTTAACCCACTTCAATCTGTGAGTGAGCAGGATTACAGATTCTCTGTAAGTATAAAGCCCAGATTTCAGTCATGATGACCCATAGTTTGCATCCCTTATGGTATACACATTATCCTGATTTCACTCATGAAATAACCACACTAAACCATATTTTCTCTGCTCATATTACACAAGATGCACCATCCAATCCCAGCTGAACTAGTCGTGCATTCTTACTGATGATGACACATCAAAGTGCTCTCTATCTGCATGATGGGAGGAATTTAACGTCCCTCTCATGGCTGAAAAGAAAATAACAAAAACTTGATGCCCTTCTCGAGGAGACAGGCTGCGGAGACCCCTGGACTCAGCAATCGGTTCAACACACAATAACACAAATTGCATTGAAAAGCCGTTCCCAAAGAGTTGTGATTAAAATAAATGGGGCTCATAAATTTGCCTCTGCCGAGCGTGTTATTTTTAATGAAATTTTATGAGGTTCTCTGCTCACACTGCCACAGAACTGGTGAGAGAAGTGAGTTTAGAGGGGGTGGGGGGGTGAAGGCAAATGATATCAGATACATCTCGACGGGTAAACAGAGACAGCACGCATATTAATAAATGCGACACATCTGCGCCAGGCTGATACGTCTGAGCGAGTGGCAACGCAGCAGTGGCAGCATAGAACTCATTTTGTCTGTGTGTGTGTGTGTGTGTGTGTGTGTGTGTGCGCGAGGACACTGGACTCATAATCATTACATGGAGGTATGTGTGAGATCATCTCATTGAGACGTGCCCAGACTACCAGGGAAACTGTACACTGAGGCTTGTTTCTGGACAATAGCTCCGTGCCGATTTGCTTTGCTCGGCTGGGTTTGGTCACAGCAGATACTGTGACTTCAGAGTTTATTGACATCTGAATAAATCAGCATAATCAAGTTGACATTTCTATGAGCAGAGAGGCCGACTACATGTGGAAAGATTTGCCACAAAAAGAGAGAAAAGGGAGGCATAAAATAACCAGAACCATGAGAAAGACAAAACACAGAATCACTCACTTTGTTTCCATATCTGCTGCTTTCCTGTTTCAGCAGTACTACGCTAAAGTACTTCACTTTTGAGGTACTGCTTCCTTCTGCTTCTGCTACACTTCAGAGGTAAACGTTGTTAAACCACAACACGTTTTTGACAGATTTTGATTTAGCACAAAAAAACAAACACAATTTAAGCTTAAAAAAATAGAATGCTTTGTGTTAAAATAAAACCAGTGGTTCCCAAACTTTTCTGCTCCTGACCCCGTGTAATCAACACATATCTGGTTAGGGCCCCTTGTCGCATTTCAGATGTCTTGTCAGTAGATCCTCAAAAGAAACATTTCCCCTCTAAGCTTCTTAAAAAAATAAGTTTTCAAGGCCCAAAGATGTCAGATTATCCAGTATTTCACAAGAACAGCAAATATTTGAAATCAGTCCAAAATAGGAATGTAGATTTGTGAAGTAAAAACTATCTTCACCTAAACCCCAGTACTACAGTAAAATGCTGCTCATCTATAATAATGTAACAGTCATAGAGGACGAATGATAGCCAGCAAAGAAAAGGTCCATTTAGTAGCTGTTCTGGAGCTTTTGCCTTCATCACATGGTCTTCATCAGCAGGTTGAGTTTGTTGATTGTCATGGAACTGTAGATGTTGACTTCTCGCCCATGTTGACCCAAAAGTTGGTTCTATGGCAATGACTCAAACTCGGTCTGCTGATGAAGATCATGTGATGCAGTCAAACGTTTCAGAACAGCTGCTAAATGGACAGTGGTGCGATTATTTTGTCAACTGCTGTTTCCGAGGTCAAAAATGAACCGTTACCCGTCTGAACACAACATACCCCTTGATTGTAGAGCGATGGCTGCCTCTGACCTCTTGATGTTCCCTCTCTGCCACAGAGAATCGTCTTATCCTGGATGCATTCGCCCAGCAGTGTAGCCGAGTCCTCAGCCTCCTCAACAACGGCCGCCTCCTGGAGCCCTCCTCCTCATCCTCCTCCTTCACGTCCAACATCAAGCTGGAAGGCGGGCCAGGGGAGGTACAGGGGATTCACTCCTCCTCGCTGGTGAAGTCCAAACCTGAAGAGAGCTCTTCCACCACAGACCCAGAAGAGGAGGCCCAACAAAGCCATTTGAACCAACAACAGACCTCTGCCGTTCTCCGCATCTTCACAGACTCCCTACAGAACTATCTGCTCTCAGGGCCTCAGCAGCAGCAGCAGCAGCAGCAGCAGCAGCAACATCTGGCTGCCGGTTTGGACAATGAGCAGTGCCCGTCGGCGGAGCCCGGCTCAGGGGTGTCTCCTCCGAGACACAACCTGGGCGGCTGGGGCTCGCCGACTCCGTCAGAGTCGTACGGCCACCCGTCGTCCACGCTGCCCGAGGAGGAAGAGGAGGAGGAGAGCTGCTGTCCACGCTGCCTGGAGTTGGAGCAGGAGGTGCTGTCTCTGCAGCAGGAGAACGAGGAGCTCCGCAACAAGCTGGAGAACGTCCCAGGTGCAGTAATGAAAGCTAGGACTTCACAGGGTCTTATTCTTTGGGATGGCTCAAAGGTACAGTGATACATATTGGTGACAAATTAAAGGAAAGGTTGAACTCCGTTCTTCTAACATATGTCGGGTCCGATTTTGTGATTTGGGAGCTTCAAACTTATGGGTTCTCCATTGTACCTAATTTTTACTCCTTCTCTTCGTGAAAATGTTGGTATTGGCAGTGGTAGAGGAAGCACACTTTTTTAAAAGTAAAATACCACACCGTTAAAAGTCCTGCTGGATAGTTGAATCCAGGGCTGGAGACTTGAGGCTTGATGGAAAAAGCTGTGGAGACTTGACTTGGTGACCTATGAATATTGTAAAATGCAGCATTGTGTGTAGTTTCTATTTTGGAGCATTGGTGGAGCAAACATCATGAATAATGAACAAGATATTGAGAATGCATGTTGCGTCTCCATTACCTGACGCACACTTTCAGTTGCAGCAGCTGGCACCACAAAAAAAACCTCGGAAAAAGTTACTTTTTGACGTGAAAGACTTGAGACGTGACTCTGACTTTAAAACGGCTCTGGTTTTATCGATAATAATGCATCATAGTTTATTTTTTGTTTTCTAATAATTCAACAGTCGTTCAGATATTTCAGTCTAGACCAAAGTGATGGATCAACACTACCAACCCCAGACCCACACGACTAACAAAGCTAGAATTTATGATAAAATGATGAACACATTTGAATATCAAAGCAGCGAATTGATTTTGTGTAGATCGATTATTCAACTAATTGTTTCATTTCTACTAATTTATTGAAGCTCTTTGTTAATCTGTCACCTGTCTGTATAAACCAGTAAAAATGGTTTTATATGAAAATATTCTCAGAAAATGTTGAACTGATTTCTGCACCTTTAATTAATATAATGTTATTAGACCTCAGAAAGCCACTTCTCACTCTCTAAATGCATCACAGAGTTTTAATAGCATCTAATTTTTATTAAGTTATCTGCTCCCCAGTGTCACCGTAACCTAATTTGCACTAACACAGCTCATTTTATCTGCACATTGCTGGATTATTGTTGTTAAATGAATCACCAGATGGGTCGTAATTTTGTGTTTCTATTTCCGATCACATGTGTTTTCATGCAGTTCCCTGTCAAAATGTCCTCGACTACTTCAAGACTGTTCTTGAGGTTCACAACCAGCTGGTCCAGCCGATGCCGGAGGAGCAGCTCACCGAGGTGAGGATTCACACCGCTGTACGTTATTCACAGCTATTTGAAGAATGTGTGATCAGTAGCGTATGTTAAAGTGTGAAAATATCAGATCACATCCATACCAAAGTAAGTAACTCCGTCACTGTGTTAATTGTGCCATTAAGTTGTGTGAACATTTTGTAATTAAAGAAAACTCTCTCTCTGCAGGAAGAAGAACGGCAAACAGTCTTTGAGGTCTGTGTTTTTAATTCATAAAATCTGTTGTTTTTTAAGATGATAAAGAATAAAACCTTCAGTTTATATTTGTGCAACTTTTGTCTGTGAAAACAGGACGTGGTGGCAAATTAGTTACATTGACATAAAATGATAGTGTACACCCTAAAAGAAGGTTAAAAGTCCATTTCAAAGTAGACAAAACTTCAGACAATGTTGTCAAATTTGGTAAAAAAGTAAAATGACCACGTGAGGCTGGATGAGGAGTTAAACCTGAACTCCTTCTGACTATTGAATCTATTCACCTCTTCCCTGCAGGGCAGCAAACAGCTGCTGGAGAACTATCCTCTCTTCATCTCTAATAAGCAGTGGGACGAAGCCGTCAACTCCTCCAAGAAAGATGGCAGGCGGCTGCTGCGCTACCTGATTCGCTTCGTCTTCACCACAGACGAGCTCAAGTTCTCCTGCGGTTTGGGCAAAAGGAAGCGTTCGGTCCACTCAGGAGATCCAGGCCTGGAGAGACGACCGCTCAACCCCGTCAAAGTCAGCTGCCTCAGAGGTACACGGCCTGGAAAAGAAGTCGTGTCGAGTTAGAAGAGTGTTTGCATTATGCTTCAGTCTGCTCAATTTAAGTGATGCATTATTGTTGAAAAACCCTGGGAATTGAAACACTAGTAGAGCTCCTGCAGTTGTCCAACAGCCAGAAGCTCTGGCAAATGTCTCCTTATAAAATGTTAGTGTTGTTTGAATGATGCAGTGCCATGCTTTTTAGAGTACTAGATATTTTACAGCATATGTTTCAGAATTGAAAAGCAGCAGTAGCTTTCAAGTGAGATCATTATTTATTATTATTATTAATTATTTCACTTATTACCGATCTATAGATTTCCACTATAAACTGTCTCGCGATTTATTATTTTAATCTTGTTAATAACTGTTTTTTTCAGCCACTTCGGGGCAGCAGAAACAAGTTGTGAACAAAATTTACATATCGTCACTTTTTAAGTTGATATGTTGAATTTGTTATCAAACAGTTGCTTACTTACACATCCAGCAGTTACAGAGACACATAATCACTTATTCAGAGTGGTGTTTGGGTTCACCTTCTTCTTTTTGCTCCGTTTTTGGTCTCCACCACCTCCTGAGGGAAACATCTGGCTCTTTATGCTCTACTATGTTCACCAGCTAACTGTGTCTGTCGGCTGTTTGGTGCTTGTCAGTTTTTAGAGCTTTTTCCTCTGAAAATAGCTGCCTGCTGCCGCCTAAAACAACACGATGAGGGCGGAGAGAGTGAAACAGTAAAGTTGAGGGCCAGACAGCTAAACAATAAGCTGAAACTCACTATAAAGCTCATTGAAAAAGAGATACTGCAGATTCTCTATGTATACGTTACACAATGTCACGGTGTCATTTCATATATTGGTAATATAAAAATATATATTATAACTATTTGAAGGGCACATCAGATGTGTTTTCACCACACAAAGATCAGGTCTGTGTAAAAGATAAGATTCAGAATCAATACATTTTTTTTATGTGAATTTCACCTGAGATTGCAGATTGAATCTACTTATGATTTAACTTCAGTCCCACTATCATGGTTTGTGTAAAGAAAAGGTCCAAAATATTAGGACAGTGGTGTTTTTTTATGACATTACAAATATAAAACAAAACACACCCTGGAAACCTCCATCCTGTTGGACAGTGGTACAAGTTAAAGTTTGCTTTCACATTTTTTTAATCTTGTTTTGATTGAAAATCTTCTTGCCAGACTTCATCCGGATGCACTGTGCCTCGAACCCAGACTGGTGGATGCCTTCAGAGGAGCAGATCAACAAGGTGTTCAGCGATGCCGTCGGTCACGCTCGTCAGGGCCGGGCGGTCGGTACGTTCCTGGGCAGCAGCGGCAGCAGCACCAGCAGCCTCTACATGGACGGCTTTGATGGACATCTGTCGCAGGACGAACTGTATCTGAAAGGCTGCCAGAACGGCCAGTCGGACTGAAGTCAAAGGAGGAATTAGAGACAAATGCAGGAAATGTAGCTGTACAACAACATATCCCAAAACGCTGACCTGAACCTGTCACTTTACAGAGTGAAGAAAACATTCCAGATGACGTTATTCATTCACAATATAACTGCAGTCCCTTTGAATAGTTTCTAGCTCTTTTGCCATTTTTATACCTAAAATTTTGCTTCGGCAAAATGTTTATCTTACGGTATCTTTCTTTTTTTTATTTATTTGAGTCTTCCATTTGCTACTTTTTCTATGGTTTGATGTTTTCAGCAGTTTTTTCACTATCTCTGGAATATTTCTGTTTCTTTTGTTTTGTGTTTTTGGGGATGGAGTCCCAGTGATTTCTTTCACAATGTACATGCATACGTTAAGGTAATCAGGAACCTCTTTGTGTTAATGTTACCCAAGTTAGAGACTTATCATATCCATCACTGACACTGTGCCCTTCATCACATCACAGAAAGTAGCATTTCATATTTTTCCACCACATTCTGCGCCATTGGCGAAGCACCTTTAATTGCAACCTTTCAAACAGGAGTGCCTCTGAGAAAGTCGTGTTTTGTTACCTGTAGTCTTGCACTTTTCATCCTCATTTGTTTTTGCTTTGATTAGAATCAGTTCTGATGTGTCAAGTTTTAAGAAATGTGTCATATTGCAGAACAGTCTTTGATATTAACACAGAATTATTAATCTGCAAAGGTTACAAGAAGTCTCCTAAATTAGTTTGAAATGCTGTATATGTCAGCGATGTAACGCTGGTGAAGGTATGCTAATGATTAAAATGCAGATTTGCAGTAAAAAAAACACAATGAGAAATAACAAGAAGGCGGTTTCTATTTAATGCTAATTTATGCACTTTCTTTGCTCTGTCAGATTATTTTATTCATCTTGACGCGAAAAATCTTCAACTGCAAGGTAAATTTATTGCATTCAACCTACTTTCATTTTTTATCATCAGTGAGAAGACTTTTTGCCTCGGGATGAATGATTGTTGCCATATAATATTGCCTTAAACTTGATTCAAGACCTCCACAGTATAAAGTGTTGATGCTTTGTGTGTTATATCGGTCATGTCATCACAATGTGGGTTGTCACTGTCTTCTTCATAATGACAGAGAATAATCACCTCTAAATAAGTATCTGTTGACCCAAGTGGAAGACAATTCGAGCACTTCTTTCTTATTTGCACTTTTACGGGTGTCGCTGTGGCTGAAGCTGCCCGACACTGAGAAGTCCTTAGAATTGAACCACTTTTATTCTTTGACTTTGTATTTATTATATTTGGTACTCGGTCACTTCACTTCATGACACCGTTTTCTACGTTTTGAATGTACCAGATTTATTAGGTCAGTTTGCCACGTCGACAGTGCTGTGTAAATGTGTAATATAAAGTACTGTATCGTGTGAGGTGTTCTTGAAATACCGCGTCTCTCTCTTAAAAAGCCAAGTAGGAAAGTGCCACAGAAACCTTAAACAGTTGGATTCTGTCGTTGTGTTGCTGTTCTGAATGTGAGCGTTTATTTGTATTTACTCCCTCAAAGTGGCTGTTATCAACACTGTGAAACATCGGTAGGATTTTTACAAATCGAATAGCTTCTGTTGTTTTTTTATTTATAATAAATAAAACAAGCACTGAAGCTGAAAGCTTACATTGATGATGATCTATCTATCTACTGTTATAATTGTTGTGCAAATTATTCTAGACATTTTATTTTGAATTCTTGAAGATATAAAAACGATCAGTTTAAAAAAGGAGAGCAGTTTTTATTTAGAGTACAGTTTTATTTCTTTCATTTAAGAGCATAACATCTATGATTCCAGATTATGATGCATTGGACAATTAAATTATATTTTCACTATTTCTAGATTACTAGATCTAATTATTGTAAATATGGCATTAATACTGTGCCTATTTTAAATCAATGTTTTCATTTCCATCTGATATAAAGTAACACTTCGAGGATTGTGATCTGATCCATGAACAATAATCTGTTTTTTTCTGATGTATAGAGATTCAGTTATTTGAAGACAGTAAATATATATCTATTTATATAAAGGAATATTATTACTGAACGTTGTTACTGATTTATTCATATTTTAATGTTATATCGGGTGGAGATGGAGCTCATTTCAGTTCACTATATTTCAGCCCTGCATCATATTTTATAAATTGATAATATTTTATTCGTATAATCTTAATCTTCAAAGTAGCTAGTAAGTAAAGCTGTCAGATAAATGTTGTGGAGTAGCATGAAATTAAAATACTCAATAAAGTACAAGTGCGTCAAGACTGTACTTAACAGCACTTGAGTAAATGTTTATAAGACAGCATCTGCTGGTGATTCTACAGAAATACAGAAATTCATCAAATCACGCAAAACAGGTGCAAATAGCAAATTTAAAGCAAACTAAACATGATGCATTCTGTTTAACAAATATAGAAATATATATTCTTCCATTTTGAACCTGTAAGTGAAGGTGGGAGCTGCTGTAGATGAAGACAAAAGACACATTCTTCAATCACTAAAGACCCCAACTGTCCCAAAAAATGTAGTCGACTCTCCCTTAAGCAAAAAAACAAAAACTACTATTTCACAAAGCTTAGTCGATGAATGTAATTAGACAAAATGGCAGTGAATTTAAAGTTGCAGCTGTCTCAGTGTTACAGCAGACAGCTATTTGGATCAGATGGAGGCTGATGTGTTTAATTAGTTTAGAAAGAAATAACAGGATGTGACTGTGTCTTTAATATTTTTTTTGTAGTTGATGCTCTCTTTTGTGCCATTTCTTCTCATCCTGAACTGTCACTGATCTCCACCAGGTGGCGGTGTGTAGCTGCAAGAATGACAGTAACCTAATGAAGTTCATCAGTAAAAAATGTTCTCCAAACAATATCGATAAAGGGCTGTACTGTAATTTAAGTCAATGTACAGGTCTGTCCACTAGGGGCAGTGCACCTAAATGTGCATAAACAAAATAAATAGTGATCAGCCTTAATGTATTAATATTTGAATAACATATTTTAATCAATTGATCAGTTATTACATTTGCAATCAATTTAATAATTAAATGAATTTGTCTTTCTATGCCTTTTCATTTTGTCTCTATCTTTTTGCTCGCACCAGTCTTGCACGTGCACGACGCGTTGATCCAGAGGTTTGGTTGAAGACAATAACAAAGAATCAAATGATTCTTCACGGATGTTTCCGGTCAGAATCTTCACGGACTTCATGTCCTGCTGGTCTGACACGAGGACGAGCTGCTGAATGCGCGTCCTCTCCGCGTGTCCCCTCTCATGACAGCAGCGTGCGACCTGATACAGCTCTGGGTGTTTCTCTTTAATTCTGCGGCATCTCTCTCGCTGTATGCGGGCCTGCTGCTCTGGAGGAGGGCGGGCCGTGAGCACAACGAGCAGACCTCGGGACAGTAAACTAACTGATGCGACATGTAGCACGAGCTTTTGGGAGGATTCCAGCACGCAGCTCTCATAACTTCGTTTGCATAGATTGGATTTGGGAATGGCACGCGGAGCTTCCAGTTGAACACAGGCCCGGGCTGCTGCTGTCTGGACACTGACCTCGGGTAAACCCCGTGAGGCTCCGCGGACTTTGGAGATATTCTGCAGAGGTGGTTTTTTTTTTTTTTTTTTGCGCAGCACGGAAACTCTGGCGCAACACAAAGAGGGGGGATGATCTCCAAATGAACTGACAACACTGAGTGAAACTACGCTTATTAAAGGACACAAAGACTCGTTGTGCAAGATGATGTCACTGATTGATCTGGACGATGATCAGCGATGGGTGCCCACTCACGTGAACATCACCGTCCTCCGCGCGAGAGGACTGCGAACCAAGGGCAAGCATGGCAGCCGCTACCTCTACACCATCATCCAGGTGGCGAAGGAGAAGTACACCACCGGGCTGGTGGAGAAGGCGGAGGTGCCCGAGTGGAACGAGGAGTGCTGCTTCGAGCTGCTCCCCGGGATCCTGGAGGACGGCGGCCGGGGCGCCTACCCCCATGGGAGCGGGGACCTGGTCCTCACGGTCATGCACCGGGTGCTTATCGGACTTGATGTGTTTCTCGGTCAAACCGTCATTCCTCTGGATAGGTTATTTCAGGAGGGGATGTGTCCTCGAGATGAGTATGTTGTGATTTGTAATGAAGGCTGCATGACAAACCATGTGAGTTTACTGCTCACGCAGAAGACAGAAGTGATGTGTCATGTGTTTGTGTGTCAGAAAGAGACAGAGAAAGTACTCGTAGAGCTTTTACTTCAGTAAAAGTATCACAATACGACAGTGTAGAAATACTCTGTTACAAGTAAAAGTCTTGCATTCAAGATCTTTCTTAAGTATTAGCTTATACTCTAAAGTAAAAGTACTCTTTATCCAGAATCATATTACTGGATAATAATTAGTTATGCATTAATGTGTAAACATCACTAATGTTGCACATGGTAAAAGGTTCATTTCAACTACTTTAGTACTTTAATCTGTATAATACATCATGATTCATTAGTTGATTATATTTCTTATTAGTAATCTAAATCTGCAGAGTAACAAGTAACTAAAGCTGTTAGATACATGTAGTGGATTATACAATATCGGCTTTCAAAATGTAGTGGAGTAGAAGTACTCAAGTAATGTACAAGTACCACACAACTGTACTTAAATACAGTACTTGAGTAATTGTACTTACATACATTCCACTACTGGATATTGTTAAGTTATTTAGTCAAATGTACAGGTGAATGACGAGCAGCTTTAGTTCTTCATTTAAATGATATTTGTATGATGTATCATTATTCCAGTATCTTATTTTGGGAGTATAGTTTTCTCTTCATTGTGATTATCAACCGTGTGCTTTTACAACACAAAAAACACAGCAGCTGATAAAAGAGAGGATGAGAGTTAAACAATTAAATCAAACTTGTTTTTTTGCAAAGACGACACAGAAAACTGCTAAAGCTTGAACCCTGAATGCATACAGGCTCATTAAATGCGGGTCCTCTAGTCTAAAGCGGTTCCCACAATGCACTGCAAATCAACAAGATGAGATGCAGTTTCCACTGTGGAACAAGTGATTCTAGCCAGAAAGCCCCCATCTTTAAGCACAATGCACGTCCTCCATTTACTTTTAAACAGCACTAGTTTGCTGTTCACACAGAAGATACAAGTGATGTGTCATGTTTTTGTGTCAGGCTGTGACAGTCAGGGGTGGAAAAAATACTCAGATATCTTTTATTTAAATAAAAGTATCAATACCACATTGTAGAAAACTATGTTACAAGTAAAAGTCCTGCATAAGAGTAATAAGCATTAAATACACCTAAAGTACCAAAAGTAAAAGCACTCATGCAGATTGCCATAGAATCATATATGTTATATAACTTTATAATAAGTGGTGCAATAATGTGTGCACCACTTTAATGTTGGAGCTGATGAAGGTGGAGATCATTTCAACATGTTTTGGAAATCTGTCAAAGTGGATTGGTGAACTTGGTATCAATGCACTGATATAAATAGTACAAGGATGTGAGGAGGAGTGACACATTCTTCATCACATTCAGTTTTGAAAACTGCAGGGAAGTGGAAATATTTTTATTTTTTGACTATGATTGAACATGTGTAGTTTTGTGGTTTTGGTTTCCAATGTGAGTTAGAATGTGAATTCAGTTTACATACTGTAAGTTATTTTATTGTAAGTTATTGTCATCTTGGAAATAGCTCAGAGTCTTTTCTAATTTTCCTGATTGTGAGTATTTGACAGGTGACGCAACAGGACTCACCACTAAAGCAATACAGCACATCTGGCTTTAATTGTGGGCTCTCCGCCCTCTCTGCGCTCAGTGAAACTCACTGAATTCCTGCTGTTAGCTTTGGCTCCCCAACCCTTTCTCTGGTCCACTCAAAGGAATTAGGAGGCAGGAACAGAGGGAGGATTTGATTGGTTGACTCTTGATACAGTATTGTCTCTTACCTCGAGGAATTTGGGTTTCGATTTCCTTCTCTGAGGCTTGTAAAAACAGTTTGTTGTCAAAGATTATGAGTGCAGACCCCCGAGCAGTATTTCCAGATTATGTAATATGTGGAAAGTTTTGCGAAAAGGAAATCAATGTTTTTTGTTGATGCTTGTTTTGTCCCGGGGTACGGCCAGATAACACATTCAACCTCTGACTCGTGCTTTAAAACAGATAGCATCACACTTCAGTAACGTGTTTATTTAAAGCACTGATAAAGATTGACTGTCCCTTTTCCTTTGTGGCTTCAGATGGTTCAAGCTCAAGTCTAAGGCGGGCAGAAAGGAGAAGGACCGTGGTGAACTGCAGGTGACAGTCCAGTTCACTCGCAACAACATGACAGCCAGCATGTTCGACCTCACCATAAAGGACAAACCTCGCTCTGCTTTTGGCAAGCTCAAGGATCGCGTCACGGGGAGGAAGAGGGGGGACATGGAGTCCTCCTCGGCCATCGTCCCAGGCCGCTTCGCCGCCCTGTCAGGATCCCTGGGGCATCCGTTTGGAGAGGAGGGGGGCGGAGGCTCTGCGGAGCAACGAGATGTGGAGATAGCAGAGGAGAAGAGGAGCAAGATGAAAGATTTCTTCAAAGGGAGGCTGCGCAAGTCATCTGACACCAGGTCATGCTCGTCCCTGGCTTCAGAGAGCAGTGTGTCCTCCATGGTCAGTGATAACCCCGGCCCTCCGCCCAGCCTGGATCTGATGTTAGACCCTCCCAGCTCCCCCATCTACACTAGCAAAGTGCGGGTGGACACCCACTACGGAGAGACAGATTTAGCTAAACAAGGTAGGCCTTGATGTTATTTACATGTGCGTGACATGAAGGCTGGTGACTGTTTTCATTGAGGCCTGATGATAAATCACATTCCCACAGTGTTTTAAGGCAAAGGGTGGGCCACCCCTCTGATAAGTAGGACAACCTTTACAAACATCATTAAATAACTAGAGATAAAGCATTAAGCTTCAGGGATAGATAGCAGGCAGACTATTCCACATGTGCTGTATTTAATGAGTATACTGTATATACTGTATATATGAGGGTCAGGATCTGGGAGCTTACCGCCTCTGCTGAGAAATGTCCGAGGGAAACCCCAATAGATAGGTATCACTCCCTCTGTACCAACAAATTATAGTTCCAGTTCAATTAAAACGTGATTTTCAGGCCGATACCAATTATCAGTGTTTAAGATTAAAAGCATTCTAACTATATGTCTGCTTATATTATCTTTTTTATCACAACCACATATACGCATTGCATAAATAAACATTGTTTGATAAGGATCCCATAGAATTGTGACCAAGATATGTACTGTGTGGGACATTTTACAGTAGAAAAATGATGATGTCCTATGCTCATTTGCATATTGGTGATGTCATAGTGCATCCTTTAAAGCTTATTGGTTGTATGGGCTGAAAAAAAGGAGAGGGAGAGACCTCGTGCTCTAATTACTTACAATATTATACATTTCTAGCTTTTTCCCTGGTGGTCTGAATAAGTTGCTAAATGTGTCGCTAGTCGCGTTTTAGAAATAACCGCTAAAAGCGTCTGTAAAGTTCTTAAATCTAGCAAGAAAGTCGCTAAGTTGGCAACACTGGCTGCATGTGTGAATAAGCAAACAACCTCAAACTTAGATGATAAGGTCATGTTGTGTTTAAAGCTTGTTGCACAAGTGGTGTGGTTACAGTTGTTACTGCTTTAAGGCAAATAGTAGGAAAGATGACATCAGATTTACATCTTATTGCATAAAAATAGAGTTGAAATTATTTTTGTTTTTGTAACGCAGTTCTTCTTTCCCTCCATCAGTGCTCACCAGCCAGCACACCACAAAGGTTTTCACACACAAGCGAGCCTTCAGCGATGAAGCCAGTAAAATCACGACAGCCTTCCCTCGATCGAATCTTGCAGTGGAGTCTCTGAAAGGTCAAACCATGACTCAGTCCAAGTCTTCCTTGTGTATAAATGGCAGCCACGTCTACGACTCTGAGCCGTCGACTCCAAAGAGCTCAGGAGCCCACCAGTCCAAGCTGGTCCTGCTGGAGAAGTGCTCCCCGCTCTCTCGATCCCTGCAGAACCTCACCAAGGACAGAGGCTCCTCCGCCGAGGGCCGACGCTGGTCCTTTGACAAGATGAAGAAAGAGGAAAAGGAGGAAGACAAGGAAGCTCAGGCATCGTCTCCTCCAAATCAGCAAGGGGGTCGCCCTGTGCAGGCGGAGATGCCGGTCGTCTCATCTGCTGCTGTTTCGCCCGACAAAGGGAGGAAGCTAAGAAAGACGTTGTTCTCTGGAGGGAGGAGTGATTCTCTGCCAGCTAAGTCAGACCTGAACCAGGCTGGTTCGACATCTGAGGGGAGGCTCAGAGGCTGGTTTGGCTCCGGGGAAGCCCACAACAAGCCGAGGTGAGTCGCTTACAGACTTTCCTTTGGGCCCCACAGTGTTTAAATGCATTTTCTATCCGGGCACAGCATCAGGCACATGGGAGGCCTGAGTTCAGTGTTTGCTCTGCTCCATGCTCATCTGAAAATGTGATAGATTTAATTCATAGTATACTCCATTTTTACGACCATGCTGTGTCATCATCTCATCCTATATTTTCCATAAATGGCACTCAAGCATTTCCATTATCTTTGTCAACATGTGTCAGCGTTTCTCTCGATCAAAGATGCAACATCACGGTGGTTTGGAAAAACTGCTTTCGCAGAAGGATGTGAAGAAAATCATTCCACTTTGTATGAGCTCACCCAGCTGATTAGCTGCCAGCGCAGATGGTCTTGAATGGCTACAATGCATTTTATTTATTTTTGCTTGATTATTTTGCAAATATGCTCTGCTTTTTTCAACTAAGTTACTGTTTTTCATAATTCTTTCATTTGGCCAGTTTGATATCTACTGATGTTTGCGGAGGTTTTTAGGTAACAGAAATGTCACCTAATATGTTGGTTGTCTTCTGTGTTTGTGTAAGAAAGATGTTCCCCATTTGGTAACGTGGCGCATCATTAACTAAGAGGACTATTGTGCCCTATTTTCCTCTACAGGCTGGAAGTTTCTCCTAAGGTAGAAAGCAGCTCAGATGTACCCCCTCCCCTCCCTCCTCGCTCCCCCGTATCATCTCAGTGCTCCCCTCCCTCTGCCTCCCCCTCCGGTCATGTCTCACCTGACAACTGCAATCACACCAATCCTTTCACCCCCTTCTCCTCTCCCGCCTCGACCCCAATCTCACCCTCCAACCCTTTTCCCTCGTATATGCAGCGCAACCCCTTTTTTGAGGATCTCATAGCAGAAGAGTCACAGAGGTCCCCTCCTTTCGACTCATCCCCATTTCATTACACCACTCTGCCTTCCCAGCCCTGCACATCCAGCCCTGCTCACGATGTTACAAATATGGCTTATATAAAGCGGGAGCGCCCCAGGCCGGTAGCTAGGCAGATATCTCTGCCTGCATTATTACCCAAAGCAGCCACACCGAACCCCTCCGCCCCTCGCTCCATGTCAGAGAGTGCAGGAGAATCGGACGACTCGTTTGATGCCTTCGCCTCCAGCAGGCTCAACTCACCGAAAGAGAGTCTTCCTCAGAAACAGCTGAGAACCAGTCCAACTTCATCTCATAGACATAGTTATCTTCCAGTTAATAACAGCACCAATAATCATGCACAAGAGCTGCAAACATGCGAGGAGGAGCCTCCACCTTTGCCTCCTCGGAAACCTTTACGAACTTCAGTGAGCGAGAGTTACTCTGATGGCTGGCTGCACAGAGGTCAAGAGCTGGCTGTCCATAAAGAAGCCTACCTGCTCTCACAGACCGGCGTGGCCTCGCTGCAACGTGGACGAGAGGGAGAAAGCAAAAGAAACAGTGTATCTCCAGACCCCCACACCAGCAGCGAGACCTCCGACTCCCTCAGCGTTCCCTCTCAGCCGCACACAAACGCTACTTCGCCAGGATTCATGTGCGAAGAGAAGCTCAAAAAGTTCAAATATGAACCTTTGGAGGATGAAAACGACCGCTGGGGAGGGACGTTGTTTGAGCAAGACTTGTACGGACGCATGTGCAGAGGAAACTACGGACAACCCAAAGTAAATCGTTTATCTTTGAGCGCTGAAGAAACTGTAGGAAATAAGATCACATCTACGAACTTAGGACCTAACATACTTCTTAATAGTGAGACATTTGTAGCAGATATTTTAAACATGCCATCTACTGCTTCCTCACAGCCAGATGCAGAAGCACTTGGTAGTACAACCGCTCCAGTAGAGAAGATGGAGTCTTATCCCCCCGAAACCACATGCATCAACAATAATGTGTCTTTCTCATTAACCTCAGGAGATCTGAACATGAATGTGAATAACTCCGATTTTGGTTTCATTGATTCAGACGGCTCTTCTCAGTCAGAGGTAGTTGACACTCTCAAAGGCATCATGAGTTTTGGCGGGACTTTTCCACAACCGCCAGGAGCTTCACAGATAGCTGCTTACCATGTCGAGATGGCGACCGCTCCTGAGGATGTGTTCACTTTGAAGGACACTTACATACCTGGGATGAACTCTTCCTTTGAAATAACCGCTTCATCCAACAAACTGTACAAAGTCTCTCCAGTTTGCAAAGACAATTGCGAACCGAATAACGTGGCACCATATGGTAACTCCGGGGTGAACAGCAGAGAGGTCGCTTCTTTCTCGTCACAAAATCAAACGTCTGATGCAGCCGATTTTGAAACTGAAACCAGTGAAGTTTTATCAAGAAGTGTAGGGGATTTAAAAAAGACACAAAATGACTCTGATGGTAATGGGAACCCGCCAGCTAAAATAGGCACACTAAACCAGCAGGAGACATTTCCTGGTGTGGTGAGTGCACGTTTTAGACCCAAAGGAGTGTCTCGACAGAACAGCAGCGGCAGCCCAAGCAACCAAAGCAAAGGTGGAGACACAGAGTTCGAACAATTCTTGGCCCTCGTTCAAAACATTTCAGAAGTCCGGGAAGGACCGTCGTCGTACCAGCCCTCTAAATCAGCTCTTTCTTCCTTCGTGGCACTAGTAGATCATCACGATGATCCCAATACAGCATCAGTAACATCTTCAAAAGACAACACAACAGGGACAGGAAAACCCTCTGATATCGCTTTTGAAGACCTTCACGCTCAGGTAGCACCAAACTCCAGAACCCCGTCAAAGTCAAAGATTGGGCAATCTTTGCAGGAACCCTCCTCTTCCTCCATCCAGGCTGCGCTCCACCCTACCCCTGTCTTTTGCCCCTCCATACACCCCTCGAGCACGGGGCCCAGCACCACTCTGGCTGTGGCCCCGTACACCTCTTCTTCCTCCTCCTACTCCACCACCTCCACCACCGACCAGCCCCTGGTCGATGCACGGCACTCACTTTTGCCTGAGGAGACTCAGCCAGCTAGCAGCCTGTCCCGTCAGGAGAGCAGGTGAGAATCCTCACACCAGGATATGACATGTGTAGCTTTTTAGCGAGCTGTAGATCTCCACATGCACTACGAAAACACGTAGTGGTTTTTCATTTTGTTGCTTTGTTTACTGTTGGCGCACCTTGATGTTGAATGCATTTTATAAGTTTGTTACATCCAACGTGGTTGGATGATACCTGCTGCTTTGTTCTTGGCTTTGCTTCACATTTATGTTATTCATCTCATTATTCAGCTTCTTGTTGGCTATTGTACGTGTGCTGTTTTTCTTACACTTTGTTCTGCCCTAAATTTAGCTACTTTTGCAGCTACTTCGACCACCTGATACACCATGTCCAGATATCTAGGAGTACTAAATGAAAGCTGGCTTTTTATCCTGTATGAATGTACGTACATGAGATCACTAGAATATGTCATCTTGTTCAGAGGTTATGTCGACGAATTGTATTTACAGACGTTTTGGCTCAGTAGAAATAAAGGGCAGTACTTGTACCTATGATGTATTCTTAGGCAGTCAGAAGAGCCACTTTGCGGTAGAGAGGATGACATATTTCAGGGCACCCAGAGTTAGACATGCCAGGATTCAGTCCCAGGAAACAAATCATTCCTGTTCTTTGTGAGATACTGTATGCACAGTGCTTTTGTTTTTACTATATTTACAGCAGATACAGGGGAGGGAACTTCATATTTAGAATATTTGTGCTTTTATCATGTTTGTTGGCTTAGAAACAAATGGACAAATGACCATAGCGTCACTTAATTATGGCTTTAATTTAATAATTAATCACTTTAATTATCTCCTTTTAGAGTGTATCAACAATAAAAGCAACAAGAGAAACTCAGCTCTTCTTTCTGCTGCGATCACAAAGTGGCTTAAATTCTATTCTAATTTCAGTTTCTAAACAATCCCTTGCTGTTGTTGTTGTATAAGTCAACCCTGTGCCCCCCCCCCGCACAAGATGATTTCATCCTGCAGTAGCGAGCGAATCACTGCACTTTTAGTACATTTCCTGTTTAAACTCGACAGATATGGCTGCAGTTATTAATGCTCAAAGAGGTTTTTTGCTCTATGTTGCTCACTGCTCTTTTCACAGATCGCTTTAGATTTTCTGATCTGCTTTGAAGTGTGTGTGACGTTCAGTAAAAAATGCAGATTGAACTGATATACAGTAACTTGACCATACAACATTAGTCATGTTATGCACTTAATAGTGAACGTACTGTGTTGAAATACGAGTGCTAACCTCTTTACTTTGCAGAACTCATCCAGTGAAGCCGTTGACCTCCAGTCAATCGGAGAAGAAGGACGGTCGTTCGGTTCTTGAGAAGCTGAAGTCGACCATCAACCCTGGACGCAGCGCCCACCAGGTCGCAGCCGAACCTGAGAGGAGTCAGGTACGGTGACACAAGAACACAACTAATCTTAGCAATGCGGCTAGAAGAAAACATTGTATGCTTTTTTTGTGATATTTCTGTAAAAACACATCTCACACTAGATACATGTATTGCACATATTCTGAGTAGTTTACCATGCAGCTTTCACACCTTGTGATTGAGTGTTATTACTGCCATGAAGTAAATAAGTCACACATGACAGTGTGCAGCTGCAACCTACCGGCTCCCTTTTAGACTGAGGTCACTTTCAACACTGGAGAGAAAAATGCTGATCCCATTAATTCTTTGGCCCAGTTACGAGATTTCAGGTCGTAAAAACGTATATTTCCAGCCTTCCTCGTTAACACTTTGGTCTGTTTCTGTAACAGTACGTCAAACAATGAGCTGATTCTGATGCTGTTGAGGACAAATTAATAGCAGGTCCTGCCACCATCAGTTTAACCTAAATATGAACCGAAGTATAGACCTGGTTATCACCTGTAAATATTGTACTTCTTAAGATATGAACTCTTTTTTGCTTTTGAGGGAATCTCTATTACACATTTCTGTAATTGTGTCTGACGGGGTTTAAAATGCAGTGGAAAATTACAAATCGCAGCCCTCAGTGTTATAGGATACAACCAAAAAACTGTGTTCCTACAGTAATTTGTGGATTTGAGCTGGTGTGCAGACTACCATTACCATTCATTATGTCACCAATCAATAACTGGAAAACAGGCTCCAAAAAAATTACATTACATTTTCAAAATGTACCCATAACACTGTTTGAGTGTCATTATGGGCAAACAGCGGAAGAATGAAGTTATTAACACGTCAAACTAAATCACAGAAAGCGATTAGGTCCACAGACTATTAAATGCTTCCATGAGCATTTATTAACAGCAGTGGTGCACTCGGTGTTAATGAACTGGGACTGGAGCACGGAGCATACCATTGTCATTTAATGCCAAAATAAGTAATTTAATATCCATTAAATATCATAATAAGCCAGTTATTTTAATCACAATTTTTTGTTTAAAAGAATAGTTTAACATTTTGAGAATTAAGCTTTTTTGCTTTCTTGCAGAGTTAGAAGACAAAATTGATACGATAGTGCACCTTTGGATTTAAATCAGGTTTCCTCCAGCCTCCATCTTTATGCTAAGATAACTCTCTCTTGGCTGTAGCCTCATATTGAATGGACAGATATGAGACTGGTATTATTCTTCTCCTCTAACTCTTGGCAAGATGGTGGATAATTGTATTTCCGTAAATGACGAACTATTCCTTTAACTGCGACATTTACCAGCCAGGTTCACACACACACACAAGATAAGGCTCACAGAATCCGCAATCTCTTCTAACACTTCTTAAAACTCATTTTACAGACTGGCTTTTATGTGATGTTGTCTTTTTACTGCTTTTATTATTTTAATTTATTATGTTTTTTTAGTTTCTTCTTATTGCATTGATTAGTTTTATTGTTTCATTTATCGTTGACACTGTTTTATCAGTGTTTAAATTTGTCTTTGCTTTGTCTGTCAAAGCACTTTGTAAACTCTGTTTTTAAAGGTGCTATATAAATAAAAGTTATTGTTATATTAATAATAATTATTATACATACATGCATCTATAATACATCCATACTGTTCCGGTTCCCTCTCCCGTAGGAGGTGCCAGTGGACAACTCGGCCCAGTACCAGCACCTGACCAACATGGAGCTGATCTCGCTGCTGCTGCAGCAGGAGATGGACATGCAGAAGCAGGAGGCGGCCTCCCAGCAGCAGGCGGCGCAGCTGCGCAAATGTGAGGCGGATCTGAAAAAGGTCAAGTTACAGGTTCGAGACATGGAGGACTACATAGATAATCTTTTACTGCGGATCATGGAGCAGACACCAACGCTGCTTCAAGTTCGCAATAGACACAAGTGACGACAGAGCGAGTGTGTGTGTGCTGCACACGACTGAGACCCTCGAGAATACGGTTTCCTCCAGAGTGGGTGCAAAACACGGTTATTATTTAAGATCGGGAATCACTATTCTAGAGTGATCAAGTTAATGCTCCACGAAATCTGATCTCACGAACATCCAGGTCTTCTCACTGCTAATACTGCCTTGTTGATGTAGACACGATATTACCCAACATGCATGCTGGTTACTATCCCAACAGAAAACAGAATAAATAAGAGCTTCGATCAAAGCCAAATGATTATTTTGCTCATGCTTTGTAGAGTAATTAAAGATAGTCAGCTGTTGTCAAGTCAAACTTTAAACTCACTGCTTTCACACATGCATAAAATAATATACAGGCTTAAGAAAAGATTGTTTCACTTTGGGGTTTAAAGTAGTTCCTCTGTCAGAATATGCTGTTAGCTCAAGGAATCTTGAAATTACAGCTGTAGAAGTGCAAAAAAATGTCATTTTGACACAAGGTTTTCATCTCAAACTGTTTTATGAAATGCCAAGATTAACTTGAGGGAATTGCATATTTTCAAATATAATTTAAGAAATGCTACAAAGAATAGCAACACGTCATAATACGCTGTGCTGCAATGTGAATACTATAAAAAGAGACCTTTCTGCATTAACATTGTTCTATGATAAGTGCAAAACATTAATCACGTTTGAGCCCGAAAAGACTGAAGAAGATGAAGTCTCATTATTTGTATTTTGTTTCTTTCTTTTCATTTGTACAAAATATTGTGTTTTATTTTTGTTTCCACTTTGCATTTTTTGTTGTTGCAATAGTAGCATTTTACTGTACAAGTAACAGCATCAATGCAATAGATAAGATAATTATTATAAGTTATTTCTATAAAATACTTTTGTCATGATGATATATTCTTTAATGCCACTCTAGTACCACTGTAGCTACTTGCAATGCTTTACATGACCGCAGGACTGTACTGTAAGAAAATAAAGTACACATGAGCCAAAGTTTGTGAGGTCCTTGTGTTGTTGGTTTGTCACCGATCAGACAGAAACTAACCATCCTGCACAGAGATGAGTGTTGGTATGTATGAGATGCTGCAGCACTGCTCATGTCCCTCCACTAGAGGACGCTCCTAACTGCACAGTTTGAGCGGACACCTTCTGGTTCCAGGTGGACCTTGGCTTTCTCAAAGAGATTTTAATCTATCTGATTTATTAGAGATAATATTGTTGCAGATTGAGTCTATTGAATTTATAACAAATGCTGACAGGCTGTCCTGTTGGCTACTTTACTTCACTGCTCTCCCTCTCAGCTTTGATTTCAGTGAAATGCTGGTTTACAATAATTAAAGCAAAATATAACAGCACAGGCTGTGTTTTATTTTGCCCAAAGAGATTTAGTACATTACCTGTTTAGACTGTGCAGTCTACTCAGTCTACTCTCAGAACAAAGGTTGAGCTGCATATTCACATTGAAATAAAAAAATACCACTGTAGAATGTTGCATTCAAAATCTTACTTCAGTAAAAGTACATACAAGTATTAGTGTCAAAGTACTTAAAGTACAACAAATAAAGGTTCTCATTATGCAGAATGACCGATTTTGAAATTAAATATATACAGCATTACTGGATTATAATAATTGATGCATTATGTGTATCACTTTAATGTTGCAGCTGGTAAAAGTGGAGATAATTTCAATTACCTTATATATAAAACTGGGTAGATTAACATAAAGTAGTATATCCTCATGTAGCCTATGAGTTGATTTATATGTTGTATTGATAATCTTATGCGTGAACTCAAGTAATGTACAAGTACCTCAAAATTGTTCTTCGGTACAGTACTTGAGTAAATGTACCACTGAAACAATTATAAAGGGATGAGGTTATGAATGTGTTCAGCCACACAGACAACGAGCTTCCATGTTATTTTCTAAGTTTTCTTTAGTGGGATAGATGTCATGAAACGAGAAATATGATTGTGAAGATTTCTGCAGTACAAATATTAGTTATTGTAATCCTTGTTTTCAACACACCTGTGCATTTCCTTATGTTATTGTATATCTCCTCTCTTTAGTTTTATTTTAATATATGCACAAATAAAGAACTAATGCACATTTAACAGGCTTTAGTCAATTTAAAAACAAGCAGCATATTTCCCTCTGGCACTTAATGACAAGAGCATAATGAAAGCGCCCAGTGTGGAGACTAATATTAATGTAATTTTGCTCCAGGTTATATATTTTTGCACCTGACAGCAGCCTGATCGATACTCCGCACGCGCTGCTCTCCTGAGGCCACGCCTCTTCACACACATGATTTATTGGGTCAATCTTGACACCTATGGGGCGCGTGAACTGTTATCTCTCCCAAGATCAATCCGAACGGTTATGCAATAGCTTTCACCTTATCGATCATTTGGGATGTGTAGTCATGCGGCGCAACTTTGCCAGTGTGAACGCAAACGCGAAGACTACACATCCCGACAGACAGAGCGGCTCACTAGTTACACACCGAATGTAGTTCCCTCCACTTGGGGATCCGTTCATGATTCACTTCATTAATAAATAAATAGTTCGGTGTCATGGCGGAATCTGCAGCATGTCCAGCCTTCCAGCTCGGGAGACCCCGATACGAGCAGGTAAGACTTCTCTATCATCAAGTCAAAACGGGCATTTATGACATTTTGTTTTTTTCTGGCTCGCGGGTGAAAAACAGCCCCTCCATCCTCCTCGCGCCGCTCCGCTACGGATGCTCACACTTTGTAGCGAAAGTTGGCTTTGATCTGCGGTCCGGTTCTTTGTTATGAAACCGCAACAACTTTGAGCTGATAATGAACTTCTGAGCTCGATTGGGATCAGTTTGGAGTTTATTATTATAGATGCACTCGTGGAGATAATCGTTTTGTCGGCAGGTTCACGTCGCTGTTTATCATCACTGACAGATTTCACACCCTTTTGCTTCGCTGCTGCTCCGTGAGAGATTATATCACTGTTAAGGTCGGCAGACGGGCACTGGGACCCTGAGCGGCATTTAAAGGCAGTTTATTACAATTATTATGTACAAGAGGTTTTATTTCTATTTCCTTATTTATTATAGGCTTTAAGATGGAGATTTCTTATACAATCTCCAGATCTGCGCATCATTTTTTTCCCCACATAAATCTGATACAAATCACACTTCAACACCCTCAAGTTCTTTTTCTTCTTCAGGATGCTCTCTGCAGAGTGATTGTGGACTCGCATGTGATCGAGATTAATAACTGTCCGTTCTTATCTGGAGCCCATTACTCAAATCTCCTCACTCAGAAATGAATTTGCATTGGTCAGCCCTGAGAGATAATGTGACCTTCACGTTGACTTATTAAAGCAGAGAGCTGGTTACATTTACATTTCCAAGGCTCCTTTATTCAGAGCCGTTTAAAAAACAGCACCTCAAAGAAAATGATCCACACGATGCTATTGCAGAGGTCCGTAAACAGATTGTGTAAATAAGTCTCTAAACTTTTTGATCTGTTGTTTTAACTGATATTAATGCAGCTCTTATGTATAAGTCTAAAATGCAGGATGTCAACATGGAAAAAAATACAAGTGAAAGGCACAAGAGCCAGCTTCTCTTAAATGTTGAGCCAACTGGGCACAGGTCCAGGGGGGTCGATGGCCTTTTGTGCCTTAGTTTGAAGTGACATGTTAACATTTCTTGCTGAAAAGTCGATCCAATAGCTACAAAGAGACACAAAACAACTGCAAAACAGTCAGAAAGCGTCGCAGAAAGGCCACACGAGATGCAAAACGACCACTAATAATGACTTCAAATTGACACGTGAGATGACGTTGTTGTGCGTCTCGTTCAGTCTGGGGGTCTTGTTCTTATGTAGGAGGCTTGAGGGACAATATAACACAGGATATGGCATGGTTCACAAAAATAATAGTTCATTTACACCCTTTGTCTCGTGTGTATTTTTTTTGCGATCACCATCATTTTAAGGAAGAGTGTAATTAATTCTTGGTTTCCGGCTCCTATTGCTGCTGTTTTTTATGAGGAAGTCTCCTCATAAAACCTTTTTATTTTCCCATCTGAAAGCTGAAGTTCATGTTGGGGTGATAAAGGTGCTGTAACACTTTCAGTTCCTTGCGTCACAGCAGTTAGAATGAGGCCAGTGTTTGAATCAGCATTGCTCAGTTTGTCTGTGCTTTCCGCCGCGCTCCGTCTCTGCGAGCCTTGTTGTGTACTCTCCGGGGAGCTGCAGCTCATGCATAATTAAAGCGGGCTCCTCACATGGATCCTCAGTCTACCCCACTCTTACAAAACAGCACTGCAGCACATATGGCCTGTCAGAGGCGGAGACGTGTGAATGTCAGGGTTACAGTACAGCAGAGATGCTTTATTTACAGTCTTTAGGAGGACTGCGTTTGGTTTCCAGTCATTTCAATTCGGACTCGATGCTGAACAGATAATTAAAATCCAGAAGGGTTTGTTCCTCTGTCTTTCCACTGTGTTTTCTGCCCTTCATAACTGATTAAGGTCTCCGAGGGAATCTGATTGAAGCTGCCATGTTTTCGCCCATCTGGTTTGCCAAAGAGGCTCTTGGCATAAATTGCTGTTGGGCCTTTTCAGACTGTTGGCACTCGTAGTTAGCGATTGGCATGCTGATGAAGACAGTGAAGGGAACAGAAAACAGGGCACTTGACCAGCAGCTCCAAGCCTCACTTGGAAGAATGTGTTTTTTGGTAAATGTAAACTTACTCAGATTGTACATACATTTAAAAAATTCATCTCAAAAGGCACATTTTACTTTAACATCTCGGTTGTATTTAGTTCGTTTGTTCCGTTGTGATAGCAGAGACTTTGTCTCTTATTTTATTGCTTTTGATAATTAGTCGTGTTTTGTTTTCATATTTTAACGGTTCAGTTTTCCTGATGGCAGCATTTCAAAGTATCTGCTAAATAATTTCTCATTAACATTCATTAGCAGTCATTAGCAAAGATTCACCTTTGGGAGGTGTTTTTACTAATGAGTCAGAGCTCTCAACTGCATCTCATGGTCTTCATCTAGTGAATAGAGAAAGCTAGGATTCATAGTCCGGCATGGACATTTAAACATACAGGCAGCAACAGTTTTGGGAAATGCACTTATTCTCTTTCGGTCAGATGGGATTGTTTTTTGTTTGTTGCCGAACATAAAAATGAAGGTACAACCAGCAGCAGGTTAGCTTAGCTTAGCACAATGAACGGGGAAACAGCTAGCATGGCTCCGTCTAAAGAAAACAAAATTCACCTCAGTATTTTGATAAAAGTTACTGCTTTAAATGAATTAATGTATTAAGATATAAAGTAAGTATTCATTTAGCTGTAGTTTTTTTTGGTTTGTACTGTAGCCTATTTAAACATTCCGTAGGGTTGAATTGGAGAAATTTGAATACATTACATCATTTTCTATTATTCTGCCTACTGCCCTGTTTATATATTTATACAATAAACTGTGTAACATTATAAATTCATAAGTATCATTTTCAAATCAGCAGAGTGCAACAGACAACGTTTCTGCATGTTTATTAAATGAGCATGAATGAAAGCAAAGTGAGCAGCGATGAATCCTCTCAGACTGCAGAGGACTACAGTGAAATGATCCACTCACAGAGCGGAGGATGATCAGCTGTTGTGTCTGTACGTTGTGCTTTCATTAAGAGTGAACTTTGTCATTCTGTCTTCTCAAGGGTTCATTCCTGGGTCGACTGAGACACTTCATAGACATCATTGACCCCAGCACCCTGTTTGTGTCCGAGGTAACAAAAACAACCTGTTAAACTGTTGATATTTTATTCATAAAATATCATAAACTGTCATGGAACAAATGGTCAGATTTCTAATACATTAAACATTTGTAAAGCTAAATTCATTTCTATTCTTGATTAGTTGTTATTTTTTGAAAGAGAGAAAGAGAGTTTGCTGCTTCCAGCCTCTCAAATGTCACTGTTTCCTGATTTTGAAATATTTTTGGGGTTTTGATCAAGATGCCTTTTAGACTATTTTCTGAAATTTTAAAAAAACAAACACTTAAATGATAAATTAAAGCATTTGACAGATTAAAATATATTGTGAATAACTGATTGTTGCCCTAAATATTTGAGAACTTTGTCTACTTTTTCGGGTTTTGCAGATAAATATATTAATATTTCTCATTACGTTCCAAAACACGTCAAAACATGAATGCCTTCCCAGTCTCATACAGCCCCATATTTTTCTTTAGAAACGATTGAAAGAATGCGAGAAACTACTTGATGACTACAAACATGGCGAGCTTCCACCTGGAGTGTCTGACCTTCAGGTGAGTATTTATCCACGCAACTCAGAGTGTGTTGCAGTACAGAGTCTTCCTAAAGACTAAACACGCAATCATCACAACAAAAACTAAACGTGTCTGAACCAGATGTGAAAAAAAGTAAAGAATATTCTGTGTTTACCTGTGCAGCTGTGGGAAGCCCAGAAGATCAAGCAGGTAAGTGATTCCTCTGGATACTTGTAGGTAGGCTCAGGTTGTCTGCACCTCCATACATTCAAGCCTCTGGGCTCCTGGCAGCATGAGGATGATGCCATGCTCTCTGCACGCAGGCCATCATTCATCCTGACACAGGAGAGAAGATCTTCATGCCATTTCGAATGTCAGGTACGACCTCAGATGAAGATCTTTTGCTTAAGTTGTTGAACTTACTTCCATTCTGTCCTCATTTTTTTATTTTGTTTTTACACTGAACATCATTTCTTCGCTGTGCAGGTTATGTACCATTTGGAACACCGATTGTAAGTCTCATATACAATATCATACATTTAAAATCATGGCTGTGCAGATGTCCATTTACATGCTCGTGTTTGGGGAGAGAGGAAATGAGACTTTGGACTTATTTTGCCCCAGAAATAAGCTGTTATTCCCTGGTCTCATCTAGGTCATTGGCCTTCTTCTTCCAAATCAGACTGTGGTGTCTACCATTATATGGCAGGTACTGTAAAAACATTAAATCATTGCATTTATTGTACATTTTGAACATCTGGTAAGCGCAGTTTTATTGTGTACATGCAGTGCTTTCCCACCTGTTATACAATGGAATAAGAACATGGTCGTGTTTGCTTCTTTCTGTAAGCTGTTGCTTTATAAAGCAACATGTAAGCTTGTAAATATCCATCTGTCTATTCATCCTTCCTGTCCTTTGTTTCCCTTCCTTTCTCTTTTTTTGTCCTTTCCTTCTTTCCTTCATTCCCTCCCTCCATCCTCCTCCTTTGTTCATCCCTTATTTCCTTCCTTCTTTCCTACAGTGGCTGAACCAGAGTCACAACGCCTGTGTGAATTTCGCAAACCGCAACGCCACAAAGGTGGGAACTATTACCTCTGGATATTTAGATCTATAGTCTCTCAAATACTTCTAAAAATATACAATATATATATATATATTCATTCTGACTGCTCTAGATTATTTTATATAGTAGAATATCACGTGTAGTGTTTTTTAAAGACCATCTTAAGACATTAAATGGCAATATAAAACACAAAAAGCCACTATAGAGAGTAAACCATGTATAAAGCTGTGACACAATATTTCTTCTCTCCTTCTTCAGCCAACGCCAACATCCAAGTTTCTTCAAGGCTATGGAGGAGCTGTGACCAGCGCTGTTTCTATTGCAGTGAGAGGGTTTCTGGTTCAATGACTTCATCCTCTTTCAGGATACTATACCTTCTTTTTCTTTGTGAATTTGACCTGCGCAAGAGAGCATCTAAGTCATGAGCTGCTTTGTTTCTTCAGCGTACAGAAGAAGTTGTAATGATGTTTTATGTACAGTATCATTAGCGATGATGGTAATACTGGTAATATTTATCTTTTAAAAGAGTTTAAGCTGTAGTGTTGATGTCAACGTTTTATACAGTAACACTACTTACTAGTAATACAAATAGTACTGCTGCAAATACAAGTAATATTTCTGCTGTATAGCAGTATTTAAAGCATGTAGAGTTTTGACCAAAAGCTAAATTGACTGGAGTTGGTTTTGATAGAAGATTTCTTTAAGATGAACCTGATGCATCTTATCGGATGTTGCTTTTCTTTTTCAAAGTGTTTTTGTATTTACTAGGTGGGGCTGAATATGCTGATTCAGAAGGCCAACAAGCTGAGTCCTGCCACCAGAATGATAATTCAGAGACTGGTCCCCTTCCCAGCTGTAGGTATGTTGGTACCAGTGAGCATCGTGTGGCCCTCTGATGGTCGGAGTCAAAACATCTGACTGATGTTGCACTCTTCATTTTCTTCTATGTTTACAAATGAGACAATTACGTACATACATCTAACATTTCAGAGCTTGTAAATTGCACCATTGTGATTTCTGTTATTAGAATATTTATTTTACTGAGGTGTTTCAGTGTTTTTAGATTATTCCTACAAACATTTCTAAAGGAATTTCTTCTTTCTCGTCTTCAGCACGTGTTCATGTGGAAATGTATGAAATCATACAATTCTTTCTCTCCCCGTTCTCAGCCTGTGCAAACATCTGTAACGTGGGCCTGATGAGGCACAATGAGCTATCTGAAGGAATTGATGTGCTGGACAACAACGGGAACGTGGTGGGATCCTCCAAAATTGCCGCAACACATGTGAGTGTTTTTTAACTTTTGCATACTCAGCTAATTGTTACCCGACTGCACTGAATATGTTCATACACTTACTGTGATAGTGGCTGATGATGGGAATATGCATCATTTCCTGCTCGGCTCCTGTCACTCAGCACACATCTGATCCCATAAAAGAGAAAATGAAATCCAACTCATTGCAGTATTTGAAATGAAGCGTGTGCACAATGTTCTCATCTGATTCCCCAGGCCATCAGGGAGACCGCCTTCACACGTGTGGTCCTCCCGATGCCGATCTTTGTCCTGCCCCCCATCATCATGTCCTACCTCGAGAGGTTTGTGTAGAAATAAATAGGTGGCATTTACTTTGAAGGTCACTCGGGCTGCGGGTAACATTTACTTTCATTGTTGATTAATCTACAGATTATTTTCACAAGTAATCGATTGGTCTGTAAAATGTCAAAAATATGAAAAATGTGCATCATACGTTCAGTCTTTTTCTTTTTTTTTAATGTCTTGTTTTGTACCAAATCGAAACAAAGTACTTTCTACTGTCATAAAAGACTAAGACAAACAGAAAATATTAAACAATTTGTTTTCCATTTTTGCTTCAAATATTACTTAAAAAACTTAAAAACGTACCTCGAAAAGATTCTAAGTTACTGTTAGTATTCAGGTATACATAGCAACTCATTATGCTGCATTAATGAGAGATTAGTCAGAATCAGTGATCTTTATATTCTTTTTAGAGGCCTGAATAGTAGCAGTAAATTATTCATTAATTCAGTAGAGAAATAGAAGCTTAAAAGCAAAGCAAACATCATTATCTTATTTCTCTGGTTCTTACCTCATCTTACGACCCCTCAGATCTATCTTGCGACACCTTGTGGGGGTCCCGGTCCCCAGTTTGGGAACTAGTGGCCAACATGATTAAACATTCTTCAAAAACAGGGTCAGAGGAACTCATGGAAATATCCCAAAATATAATAACTCAGAATGCCATTCTGCCTTTTAGCATATTTGTTGTTTTTTAAAGGCAGTTGTGGACAATGAAGCATTTTATTTTACTTTTCCCTAAAAAGGCAAAACACAGAACATAGTGAGTTAAGACTAAACTAAACCCATGATGTTAAATGAAAGCGAGCTACAGATTCATTTTATAAATTAATTTCTCTATTGTTCGTCATTGCTCTCTGTCTTTAGAGGGCTGATTGTCTGTTTGATTCTGCTCTAAAAATAATCTGCATGTTTCTCTGTTTACTGAGCCAGAGTCGGCATATGTTGTGCCCCAAAGTGCTTCTCATGTATTCATTCAGAAAGTAGGCCACAGCCAGAGACAATGTAAAGAGAAATGAACAAAATGTAATAATACAGAAGCGTTTTCAAACACAAAAAGAGACTTTCTGTCTCTATTAAATAAATAAATAAGGAAAAATAAAGTGTCTGACTCATTAAACCCAGAACTGTAACTTTCACACAGACAGATTAATCTCACACTCACTAATTGTGAAAAATCGCTTCCTCCCTAATTCTGCACGTGTCTTTTCTCCGGATCCAAAAATAACTCCTGGTGTTGCAATAGTCATCTGGGGATCGATGCACACCGCGGGCTCACGTTTCCTTTCTTTCTCTATCTTGACTTAGGCTGCGATTCCTGCAGAGCAACCGCCGGTTATTGTTGCCCATCCACAGCCTCGTGTGCCTGGTTACCTTCGGCCTCTCCCTGCCCGTGGCCATCAGCCTGTTCCCTCAGATGTCTCTGGTATGGCGAAAACGTCGCTTCAGCCCTCCCTACTGCTAATTCGAGGCCAGATGGCTGAAAAAGAGGGAGCAGCTGGGGAGAGATTCAAATTACACACACACCACTTGACATGCACAGCCCCAGCCCACGAGCTTGCGTTCACCTCTTATTCCAGATGTCTCTTCCCATGTGTAATTAAAAGTCTAAATGATCTCCGAAGCTTTAACGTCAGAGCGATGTAGAGCTAAAATTTTGACTTTCCAGTTTTTGTGCTTTTTTGTTTTTGCAGATTGAGGTGTCTTGCCTAGAGCCGGAGATAGCCATGGCAACAGATTGCAAGGTGTTGACCTACAACAAGGGTTTATGATGGATGCCGCGGTGAGGGAGCGAGGAGAGCACGAGGATGGAAATGAGGCTGCAGTCGTCGGGTTCCTCCTGTCGGGTTGAGAGTCTTTCTGCTGCAGCATCACAGCTGAGCCTGTAGATCATCGGTACTAACAGGGTTGTTTTTTATTCCACGGTTCTCAAGATCACAGCAATTAATGAGTCAAGGTTTAAAAAGAAGAAGCTCTGTTTATAGAAATGATGATATATTTACTGTGAAATCAGTTTTTTAGTATTGGTGAAATGATTTTAATGTGTACAAAACAGTGTTTCCCACACATGGCTGCTTTTCACACAATGATGAGGGTTTGAATACAGTTTGAACCGGCAATAACTGACTTTTTCTGGCTCTTCAGCTGCCTCAGTGTTTTTGTTAACGAGCCTTTTGACTGGAAACTGGAGCCTGTTTGGCTGACGGGAGCAGTGAGAGTGAACGGAAACGATAAAGTTGAAAACAGTGAGGCGTGAGGAAGTGAAGGGTGACAGTATTGTCAACTTGATAGCTCGTTTGTCCACAGGTTAGTCACCGTAAGTTTATCAGCTGACATTAGATTTATCTTTATTTGAAGCCCAAATCTCCTTAATCTTGTGATCCATAAAGAAATTGAAGTTATATCTGCCTTTAACTAGTATAATGTTTAGAGACTGGAAGAGGTAAACTATTCTAGTGTTTCACCAAAAAAAAAGAAGCAAAGGTTAGGGATGAGTCTAAAAAGAAAAAAACTAAATAATATGATTTTATGCCGCTGAAATGTTAATTCCAAGATTAGGACTTTGTCCTAAATCTACAATTCTGCATCTCTTTGTGAGTTTGACTCAGAGGCATCTGTTAGAGCAGGATGACCAATACTGGATTTCTGAGGCTGATTACAGATAACAATATACAAGACAGCATTAACTTCCTTAAGTAAAAACATTAAATACATAAGGATTTCTGACAGGGATCCTTAAAATTAGGTAATTATGTTAACCATGAATAAACTCATCACTGCTCTCTGCTGGACAAAAGACAGCAAACATATGGGAAAGTATCTTTGGCCTTCCTGTCCAGTTTCTTACATATATATATCAGGTCAGGACTCTAGTCTGTTGTGATGTGATGCAGACGGTTGAGGAGCAAAAGGAGCTTTGAGTGAAAGCTTCCCCCACAGTATATTTTTGACCCGTGGGAAACACTGCACTAGATAAAACATTTCTATTTATCATGTGAAGGAGGAGACACTCTAATCTGCAGCTGCACGTCTGAGATATTCCGTATACTGAGGATGACGAGTTAATTAGGACCGAATCACTACGTAACAATACTGCCAGTGTGAAGCCGCTGTCAGTGGCCGTACTGTAAATGTCTAAGGGACAATGTGGAGACTGTACTGTAGACGTATAATAGTTTACTCACTGTTCCTCACGCGACAGCTATTTTAACCTCAATAATGTGAAACAACATACAGTACAAGTGTACTCTCTGGACATTGTGTTTCCTACAATAAGCAAACACTGAACACTAACTTTCTTTCCTAACTTGTTGGAAGGACATTTGACTCTATTACTGTTTCTATAACCACTACTGTATTCATAATGCTTTACTTTGTACAATATTTGAAATATAGAAGTATAACTTATTATACTGCTTATTATGAACTAGTATTTTTAATTTTTTGTATAATACTTCTACTTCAAGTTTATTAAATGTTTGCTAGACAAACAATGTAAAACATTTATCTATATTATCTAAAAATATATATATAATAAATACTATCTCCCCATCTACTGGTTTTTGGTTGAAAACTTAATTTCCAGACATTTCCGTGTTCATGAGCTGCACACTTTGCTTCAGTTGTTTAGTGTTGTTATATTACATTTGGGCTTTCAACAAGGACCATCATGGTTTACTGTTTTCACTATTGACATTAGTTTATTTTTTACCTTTTATTATTCTAATTATTATTATTGCATTGCTGTTTTGCACCTTATTGGACAATGTGCCATTCTGATTGACAGAAAATAAATCTAAAACTATTAAAATAATAGATAAATTATAAAAGTCTTCAGAAAATGTTCACCATTTTCAAAAAAATGTATTAAAAGCAGTTAATCAAGAAAGTGACCAGTGAAGCCAAAAGTAATGATTCGTTTGTATGCATGTAATAATAACGGATTTACTCAATTCTAGATAGTTCTCCGCCAAATTATCATTTATGAATGTTTATTGGATATCTTGAATACATATATATACACTCTGGTATTTGTATTTCAGCTCACAAAATAGTTTTACTGAAGCTTACTCGTAGCCTAATTCACCTCCAATAAATCACTGAGCTTCCAGTGTTGAGCTGTGAGAGGCCTGCAGTCCACGTGTTGACCACCAGGGGGCGCTGCAGCAGCGATGCCTCGATAACACGTCAGAGTCGGAGTTGAAAGGGAAAAGGTCGACAGAGAACATGGCTGCTCCCGTGGATGACATGTTTTCCTTCTGCGTGGACCCCGGCAAAGTCTCCACCGGCGTGGATGTTAGATTTATAAACCATGTAAAGGTAAGGCGGTTCAGAGTTGGTCGGACTGAAGACATTTAGGCACATCTGGAGCTTAAATTAGCTCCGTAGCAGAGATGTGGAGGGCGCATGTCGGCTGTCAGCGTGGATCACAGCCGGGCAGAGCAGAGCCTGATGGGCGCACAGAGCACTGGAGGAGCTGGACTGGTTCATGAAAGGCTTTCTGAGCGGATCTGACGATAATAGATCTGGTGGTGTCCAAAACTACCAGTTAGTACGTCTACTGTGGTGCTTTCAACCAGAAGTGTGCAAGCTAAGGAGCAACACTCACCATTGTACTCCATTCAACTTATTGTGGGGTGATGTGCATGGAGCATTATGCAACTTTATTGTGTCGTGGCACCCTGACTTGATGGATGAAGGGGTTAAGTTTTTAGTTTTAATATGAGGTTTTTGTTGGAGGCCAGTGGTGAACCTAACTCAGGAGACAAAATCACATTATTTCACTCTGTGCTGTCTACTGTCATTTCTGCTGATAAGAAATGCATTCAACCATTATTCATACAAAATATTATTATTCAAATTATTCTTTACAGGGTTGCAGGAATCCTCCACTTAAAAACCCTTTACACCTGTAATAGTGTGACGATAAGGGCGAAGCAAACACAATATTTTGTAAGGAAATGCTTAATGTCTGTTAGTACATTTCTATCTGATACCTCAGTGGAAGAGACTGCTGCATGTAGGTTTAAATGAGCAAAGACTGTTTTCAAAGATCGGTGCACAATAGTAATGTTTGTTTGTTTGTTCATGTTTCAGGGCAAGGGTCTCTTTGCCAAAAAGAGCATCAAGAAGGGGGACGCCATTTTTCTCGAGCGGCCTCTGGTCTCGGCTCAGTTCCTGTGGAATGCTTTGTATAAATACAGAGGTGAGCTGTCGACTGCATTTTAACACACAGCAACTTTTTAGTGGAGTAACAAAGAAAGCAGAAACGGGTTTAATGACGGGTAGGTTTTCCACATACAAGGAATTTGCCTTGGTGCATATTATGAATAGAGTATGAAATAAAAGATGTAAGTAAGTGACTGCAACAGTCAAGACGCATAAATAAAATGACAAAAATATATACGATGAATCTGTTTTGGAAAAATGAAGCGCTTAACAGTTTTGTGCAAAATATTGTCCAAGAAATGTTTATTCACAGTAATATAGATTGTAATCAAAATGTGCAATTATGGATGGAGATTATTATCCAAAAGATGTGGAGACTTTACGTTAACGTAGCGCGTCTATGAGGCGGGATGGGAGGCCTTGTTGTTGAGACCAGCTCGTGAGGTTTCGGTCCTGCCTGGACTTTGATCTTGGATGAAACTTTAGCATCTTAAACCAACAGGGTCTGCAGTAAAGCTTTACCTCATCTGCTCTACTCTTGCACCGGTGTCCTTTGGTAGCCTGCGAGTACTGCTTACGTGCTCTGGAGACTGCGGAGGAGAATGCGAGGAGACTCAGCGGCATCCCTGGACTCAGCCTTCCTCATCCTGAGCTCTGCCACGTTCGACCAGAGCTGCACCAAGCCTGCCCTCACTGCCAGGTGAGTCCAAACAGGATCTGTTGATGTATGGATCTGACTGATGATGGCTTTTGAAAGCCTAAAAGTTGTCATTTGTATCTCACAGAAGAAAAATAAAGTGTTCAGATCAATTTAAGACAAGAAACGTATTGATTTTAAGACGGCTGTTCTTCCGACTGGTTGGCGACATGACTAGTGTTGGTACTATGGATCACTAAGCCACTGTATTTATTTCTTTATTAACCAAAGTGAAATCTGAGACAACTGTTTATTCATGGCGGTTTCTTTGTTTTTGAAATATTACATATCTGTTTAGGCCACATATAAACAGATTTAAGTGAGTGGTTTTCCAAAAGTATTCGCTACAGTTACAAAGTTCTTCAAAGTACAATAAACCCAAATAACTAAGATTAGAATAACGAACACTTCAATATATTAAATAAAAAAGAACAAATGCAGTAAAAGCACAGAATTAAACTCAACCAAGATGTTTTTAGGAGAAATGTAAACATTTAAACTTGATATAGCTCATTCCTTAAAACCTCTTCCCACTCCTGCATAATTTGCCTAAAACGCCTATCGACCGCGTACCCAAAGTAAACTGACAGCTGTTATTGAACCATTGGGAGTACATGTATGGTTTTAGTCTCTATTGAAAGGCAACACTCTGAAATTTCTTCACAATCAGTCAGAATCACCGTAAGTGCTATTAGCATTAAGCTGTGGCAAAATGTGTATACTACGATAAACTACGTGTTCGAATTGCAAACTATAGTTTATTTATGTCGATGTATGGTTAACTATATCATATTTAACCATTATCAACTTTCACAGATTCTTGAAAGTTCTCATGAACCAGACTTTAGTCTTCACACTCTGTCCCAAGAACTTGACTCATGGTTTCCAGTTCAGTTTTGAAAACTTTCCCAGCATTTAATCTGATAAATCTGCATATCCCTGGCTTCGTAATTTCATTGGCTATGTGGAGCCTGAGTTTGAACAGGATCTGTTGCGATTGGCTCGAGCTATACCCAAAGAAGAGAGGTGGGCATTGTCTTTCAAAGCGGACTCTCGTTGGCTGTTCCAGACTGTGGCCGGGCTATAGAAGCTCCTATTGGGTCAAATGAGGTGTCAATCTAACCGGCGGAATGTAGGCTCCATTTTGTGCTGAAAATCTCCGCTCTGTTGACACGGAACGTGAAGTTCCGTGATCGTGAGTTATCATATCTGCTGGCTAATTTGAAATGATGCAACAGCGCCCCGTGGGTCTTTATGGACGTACTAATGTGTTTTGGACTAAATATTTTACTGGATTCGATCGAGTGGACCCTTAGCCACCTAGCAAGACCGTTTTTGCTGGACTAGCATGCACGAGGGGGACGTTATGAATCATAATCGGTGAGTCACGGCCATATTTTATCGGCTATTTTTGGAGTGCTTGTTTGACAGAGACGTTAACTGTACCTGCTGTTGTTATTGTATCTTGAAATGGTTTGCGTAAATCGAATTACAAGAACCGTAGCTTTCTAATGAGATATCACATTAATACTCATCGTTACAGGGCAGCTGTGTACATAACACAAATATGCAGTTATCAAATATGCAGTTACTTGCCACTGTGACGGCCCGCGGGCGGGCCGTCAGAGTGGCAAGTATGAAGCTCTATGAACTCTATTTTTAATAATGTATTAAGATGTCTCAGATTTAATCTATTTTTTAGTGGAAATACAATACTTACTATACTTCCAAAAATTAAAATTCAAATAAGCTTTCTTGGCACGACAGATCAGAAACATGTATTGCCAAAGCAGTACAGACAATTCTGAACATTGACGGATGTTATAATAATATACAAGAATATGCAAATACCATCAATGTTATCAAATACAACATAATAGTTGCTATGAATAAGAATGTATTACATGGGCGGCTGTAATAATTTTACAGAAGTAATAACTCGCAGTCACTGAAGTGCTTGTTCCTCTCGTTGTGAGACAGTCACACACTCAGGATAAACTCAGGAAACATGCTGTTTTTATTTGATTTGAACACACAACCTGTGACGGCCTGTTTCTTTGAACAGGTTGATTTATTTTTCTTCTCTCAGGAGAATATTATTTTGGTCTTTCCTGATGTGACCAAATGAAAAGTCACTCAAAGTCACTTGTAGTGCATAAAAGAAGCCATGGTACAATTAAGTTACTGTTGAGACTGCGTTGAGGGGAGATGCTCTCAGACGTTTGTCCTTGGAGTCTTTGAAAACCATTGATTTGAGAAATACACTCTGTAGAGAAAAATACAAATTCAAAATGTGTGGAGGTTTGTCCCGTCACCTCTATCGTAGCTACCAATCACAATACCTTTCTGAAGTGTTCAATAAACTGTACAACTCATTTCCTGATTACAGTGACCTCACACAATATCTGCTGCTGGTTGATGAAGACCTGGGGGTCCAGTTAGTGATTAAAGAAACTGGGCTGTATGGCGGGGAAAACATCCAACGTTTAATAAGTGCTTAATACATTTCTTAAATATTTTCAGTGTTTTTTTTTTGATCGGTAAGAAACAGTCTTCCTCTGTAGGTGATGTACTGCAGCAGCGAGTGTCGACAAGCCGCAGCAGATGAGTACCATCGAGTTCTGTGTTTGGGTTCCTCCCAGGACGATCCGGACCATCCCATCAACAAGCTTAAAGATGCATGGAGGTGAGAGGGCATGTTATGCATGTTTTCCATTGCAAACCGCTGATTCTTCTATTAATGAATGTAATTCACTCAATGACGATTTGTCCTCTCCTCAGGAGTATGCATTATCCCCCAGAGACCTCCAGCATCATGCTTATGGCCAGAATGGTAGCTGCTGTCAAACAAGTGAGTCTCTGATCACTTTTATCTCCTAAATCATTGGGTACAATTAATCATATTACAAACACAATACAAACACCTTGCTGGAAAAGGACACAACATGCTGCATTCAATATAGATTATTATCGCCTGTGCTCCCTCACTTTTTGATGGTTGTTAAACCTAGCTTGAAATGACTAATACAGATGTCCTAGTAAAGAAAGCTGGATGTGAAAATAGTTTTTGGAAGGTGACAACATGGTGTGAGGATGATTTTAATAGACTTTGCTGTAATGTGATGTTATGCATATATTCATTAGAAAACGTTGAAGCTGTTCTGATCAATATCTTTGTATATAAGCAATAGATGAATATGCACAATATGAAAGGATGAACCCAAAAACCTCCGCAGTTCCCCGTTGTTTTTTGTACCATCTTGAAGATCATTGCTTTGGTTTTATGGCCCGTAACTTTATTGTTATGGTTCTCACTACTTTCGGCAACCTTGCCTCCAGCAGCAGGCAGCTGTTTTCGTAAAAAAAAAAAAAACCGATACGCTACCTGCTCAGCACCATACAGCAGACACGACAGTTGGCAACTAGTAAACCAGTAAATAGGCTACAGATTGCTAACAAGCGTCCCATAACAACTTTATAAGGTGGTGGTTTGACAGTGTTGTGTTTGCAGCCAAAAAGATGTTATTTCAGATTTAATTTTCACTGTGAATTAAGAAAGAAGAATAAGATGAGAACAAAGCTAGAATTTATACGGTGCAAAGTTAATAGCTACAAATGGCTTTCTTGGCGTAGACGCCACCAGGAGTTTGATTGTCCTTTTAATAGACAAGAGGCATTGAAACATTATGCATGTGTCACAAAGATATACTGAATATTAAAGATGAAATGCATATTTGTTAATAATATGTATTGGTTATGTCATACAGGCCAAAGACAAAGCACACTGCCAGAAGCTGTTTTCCCACTTCTGTAGCCGGACAGATAATGAGGAAGAGCAGATCGCCCATAAGCTCCTGGGAGACAAGTTCAGAGTAAGTTACCATCACCTGTCACAAAAAGTCACAAAAAATGTCATAGTATAGTACACCATAAAAAAAACTTCATAGTGTAGGATGCCATGAAGATGTAATGAGATAGTCCTAGTTAAAGTATGTCATAGAAAATATGATAGTATAGTATCTCATGTAGAAAGTTACAGTACAGTATGTCATAAAAGATGTCACCGGATAATAATCATCAGTCGTAAAGACGGTCATAGCATAGTTTGTCTTAGTTAGTCATAAAAAAGTTGTAGTAAAAATGCAATAAATATGTAATAAAAATAAATTGTTATATAAAGTTCAAGTATAATACATGTCACAAAATGTTATAGTATATCATAGAAAGTTATAAAAATTCCCTGTCTTTAAAAAGTCTAGCCATAAAAAAGATGAAGTAAATTATAAGATACAATTTTTATTTAATGTAAAATAAAAAATATATATATTTTATGACATATAATATGTTCATGGCATGAAAAGCATCAAAGCATAGTGGGTTTGTAAATGTTCTAAAAAAGTCAGTTTGTCATTAAAAAGTAATGAAAAAGTCAGAGTATAGTATGTATGTTAATAGAAATATTGTATGTCATAAAAATTATCATGAAAAATGTCATAGCAAAGTATTTCATAGTATGTCTTAAAAAACTTCACAAAAAGTCGCTATGATATGTTGTAAAAAAATAGCATGAAAGTCATTGTTTAAGGCCAAGGTAAAGATATGTCATGAACAATTTTGTATATCATAAAAAGTCATGGGAAGCAATTGTATAGTATGTCACAAAAACATAATCGCATGTAAAAGAAAAAGTCATAGTATAGTTTTGAAAAACGTCACAGTATTGTATGCTATCAGACGAGTTACAGTATTGTGCAGGTCAGGTCCTCTATGTTGAAATTGCTGACTCTGTCCAGTTCATGGACATCGGGTGTGTCAGTGTCCCCGTTATAGTTTAGTATTATGTTATCAGAAGACTCATAGTATTTTTAACCATTTAAATGTAATAAAATAAGTCAAAAGTTTTGAGTTCTTTATTGTCATGAGCACAACAAACACAAAGCAGCAGTCGTTGGCAATAATAATCTTGTATCTCAGGCTCTCTCAATGTAGAAAAGAAGAAAGTAAAAAAAAAAAAAAATGGATTAGACATAAAATTGTGCAAAATTAAAATATAGGGATGAAATATAACTCGTATAAGATGAAAAACCTGTAATATAACAAAAATGTACCAAATAATTCTGTTTGCCTTTGCAAATGTTTGATTTGTGATTTTGGGCTGTACAAAATACATGGAATTGAATTGTAGAAGTCCTCCATGCAGGGCAAGTCCAGCTTGGCGATGTGCTGAGCAGCTTTCCCCACCTTCTGTAATGTCTCTGCAACTGCCGTACCGGGTGGTGCCGGTCCAGACACTCAATAGTGCACCTGTAGAAGCTGCAGAGAGTCCAGGTTGAGCCTCCTCAGCCTACGGAGGAAGCAGAGCCGTCGTCTCGCTGTCTGCAGCTGCTGACTCAGTCCACCGTAGTTCTGTTGATGAAAATGTTACAAACAGGCCATAGTGTAGTACTCCCTAAATAAATCACAGTATATTATACCATAAATGAGTAAAAAGACAGTCGTAGTACAGTATGCGATACAAATGTATTAAAGTCAAAGTATGTCATATAAATGAAGTAGCATAGTATAGTCTGGCAGTTCAAAGACAATGTCATGCTCTAATGCTAATCGCAGTCGTTTATGGCTCAATGAGCACAGCGTGACAGTGTCACTCCCTCCTGAAAGAGCTTTAATTCCCACTGTGGCTGTCTATCCTGATGTTTGTTTTCTGTTATGTAAAATGTCGTTTTCCTCCTTCTGACATTGTTTCTGTAGGGGCAGCTGGTTTTGCTTCAGAGCTTTTTTAAAGCGGCACTTCATGACGATCATCTTAGTCGGGTAAGAAAGAATAATTCAAATGCATCCACTCCATGTGTCCCCGTATGTCTGACCAAGTGCTGAACAGCTCCAGTGTCTAACAATTCATTCTGTTGTGCAAGTTGACTAATTTAAACCGCTTGTTTTGACCCGACTAATGTTCCAAACTAAAGATGTATCGAGCATACTGTCATAGTATTAAGAAAACCTTAAAATGCAAATTTCAGAATATTGCTCAAGTTAATTTGAAGAGAGTCGAACAGTTTAACGACCGATCAATTATCAGAACTGTTGCAGACTCATTTTGTGTTCTAATGCAGCTGCACATTAAATGTTGTAGGGCAGCTGATTACTGCAGTTCATACTGATGGTATCGTAGGAAACCTACGTAGGAAGATGCGTTCTTGAACTCACTGTGACATCCAGAACCGTGTTTCTATGCTGATTTAACTGGAAAGTGAATGCACACGGAGTTAAGTTCTGCCAGCTCAAGATGCTGAAGCTGAAGCTGACCCTGACCGCTGATATTAAAAATGTCAAATGCTATTCATGACTTTCTGTCGCTATTGCAGTGGTTTGTCCCTGAGGGGTTCCGCTCTCTGTTTGCTCTCGTGGGAACCAACGGACAAGGCATCGGCACGAGGTAAACATTTGCCCCTCTTTCGACTCTGGATCTTAGTTCGGCTCAAGTAATTCTCTCTCTGTGTGTTTCTGTTCAGCTCTTTGAGTCGGTGGGTTCATGCCTGTGATGCACTTCAGCTTCCTGCCCAGCAGAAGGAGCAATTGGACTCTTTTATCGACCAGCTGTACAAGGACATCGAGAAAGGTCACAGTTTTATCTCAGTCTTGGAGTTAATTATTTTTGTATAATTGTGTGATTTAAGTGTTTATCATCTGTGTTGTCCCGATGCCATTGCTGGGATTATGATGTAATCCGTGTTCAGATCGCAACAAAGGCTAGAAACACTCACTTGTCTGTTATCTCTGTAGAAACGGGAGACTTCCTAAACTGTGAGGGCTCTGGACTGTTCCTGCTTCAAAGCTCATGTAAGTGCAGCTGATCTCCATGTTATGAGCGCTGTCACTTCAGTTCAAAGACACTGTTGTTCTGGTCAAGAGACTGTCCGATGACCGCCCCTTTTCACTGTCTTCTTTGACCCCCGCAGGTAACCACAGCTGCATACCCAACGCAGAGGCGTCCTTCCCCGACAACAATTTCCTGCTTCAGCTCAGTGCCCTCAGTGACATCAACCCAGGAGAGGTCAGCTGACACGTCTGGGTTGGAGTGATAAATCCTGGCCCGGGATAGATGGCACAGCACATCCCTCTCTAGCTTTGTGTGCTCCCTTGTCAGCCGGCATAAGAAGGCTGAGACTTTGAGGGTTGGGGGTTGGTTTGTCAAGCTGTCAGAAAGATTGAGAAGCCTTACATCTGCGTGGCACAGTAATGTCACAGCCAGCCGTGCTACTCTCGCAGCAAAGCTCTCCTTTGTGTAGTATTGCACCAGTAGAAAGATGGAAGGACACAGCGACTTCCTGCATGAGGGGGAAAAAAAACACGACAAAGACCTGAATTATTTCTGCCATTTGAAAAAAATAGCTGCAGCGTGTTTGTAGGACTTAACTGGAATTGCCAACTGTTCAGCCAGTTCAACTGTGTTTTCTTCAATTGTTAGGAGATCTGCATCAGTTATTTGGACTGCTGTCAGCGGGACCGAAGCCGCCATAGCAGACACAAAGTTCTGAGGTAAGAATCTGTAACCCCTCAGACGATTCACTTGAGGCAGGGTGAAACTGTTTATTGATCCACCTGGATCAATAAAAAAGCCTTCCAGGCGATAAGGAGGCAGGGATGCTCGGGGTCTGATGGCTCCTCATTGGTCAAGTCTATTTATAGAGCACATTTACAAACAACAAACGTTAAATGAATAGGAGCATAGAATATATTGATAAGATCTTTACACAAAAAAGATGAAATACAAGCAAAATATAAAACCAAAGTGTGGACAGACATGTCTTCATGGTGGTATGGAATGGAGAGCAGTAATTGGTCACCAGATCTTACGGGTTGGAGATGTTACCAGGTGCTTTAAAAACAAATAATCTTAAAATCAATTCTGTATTTCACTGCTAGTGAAAAGAGGCCGGTACAGGGAAGACATGGTCTCTCCTCCGGGTACCAGTGAGGAGTCTTGCTGCTGGCGAGATAGGGCTAACTGACTCATTCCTGCAGAGAGAGAGTTGCGGTGGGAAATATCATGTCAATCCGTTTTTGGATTACACCAACACTGAGTGGGGCAAGTTTGTTTTTAAAATGTTTGCGAGGTGTACGTTTTTCTAACATTCTCAGCCTTGAGACGGTGTAGCTGCAATCCAGGTTGTTGGTGTAGATGAATGTCAATCTTTATAAGCCCCCATATCACACCCACTGAAGGAAAGGTATTAAACACTCTTTGTTCTGGTGTGAAGCAGCAGATTGTCAAATTAATTTCAGCTCTTGTTAGAGGTGCAACAATGTGACTGGCGGAATATTCTCTTCCCAGGGAGAACTACCTGTTTGTCTGCTCATGTCCAAAGTGCATCTCCCAGATGGATGAGCTGGACGTGACATCGGACGAGGAAGAAGAAGCAGAAGGCGAGGCAGAGGGGGATGAGATGGAAGATGAGATGACAGATGTCTGATGAAAGACTTGCCCATATTGTTCTCAGCCGTTCCCTTTCCTGCCACCACGCTAAGCATCCATGAAGCCCTGAGGAATAAAGACCACCATCTGCATTTCACCAAAACTGTACAAATGTGTGGAAAATGTATTAACAAATGCAGACACATTTCACTCGTTCTTTGTCTTGTTTTGGAGATCGGCCACAGAACAATGCATGTCAGTATTAGGACAGTTTTTGCTGTACTCCAGCGCACTGGGTGGTTTGAAATAAAACAAAGACTTTCAAGGTTTGTGGGTGAACAGTTAAGGACTGACATCTCTAAAACGTTCACTAAATCTGGATTAAAACACTATTTTAAATCTACATTAATTAAAAAACATTCTGCCGACTTGGTGGCAGTTATAATACGACATATTGCCTTATTAAATAGTTACCAAACAGCACTTGAAAATCTTCTGCTCTACAGTGGTTACATTCCAAAATTCAAACTGGAAATGTCACTCATAAGAGCGGTGAGAATGAATCACAATGAGTTGAAAGGCTCCAAAGAATGAGAGAAATGGAAGAGGATGGTGATTATTCTCAATAGGTTCACTTTGAGTGGTATTACACAGTCCGTTAATCCATTGTTATATGATTAGAGCTGCTTTATATTACAGCTGGTAGTCGGTACTTTATCCTCAGTGATTGTGTTACTTGTTCAAATGTTCCACATCACTCAATGTGCTGGCGAACAGAGCCGAAACTAATAGTTATTGCACTGCGTCTGACCTCCAGGTCCACTAAATCAAACTCAGAAGAACTGTTGTCATGTCTCGCTCCTTACATCTCTCGAACAAGGCAAAGTGATTAAGCCAAGGTCGGATGATTCTCAGGTGTTTTTCTCCACTTAAGAAGTTTCTTACAGGACTATGCATTATTGTATTGAGGCTTTATTTATATTCCGTTGTAATTACAGTCTTGTCGTGTGGGAGACGTGCAGCTGGTGATATATAGTTTGGTTTTCATACGATGATCTATGGGGTTAAGTTGAACCGTCCTAATGTATAATGGAGACCTTGAGTTGAAAATTGCTTTGTCAGTAACTTCCCTTTGTTGACTGTATTTCAAACCGCAGTTCCACATGAGTGAAAGAGCTGCTGCCCACACATGAATCAATATTACGACTGTAATCACAATATTTTTAGTTTCTTGACAAAGATTGGAAACATGGAATGTAATCACGTTTTTTTCCCCACAGGAGAATGTGCAAGGCACACATGTATGATTTAAATATAACCGCAGCAAACAGGAGCCTAGCAGTTGTCATTTTTACTACTGTGGCATAAACCATTGAAATTGGATGTCTGTTGAGTCATTTATCTGGTTTACACACCTCCTGCCTTTGCTACAGAAGACCGTAGTAAAATATTTGTTCATCTTTGCATATTAACCACAAATCGTTTCTCAAATTGTCTTCCTCAAGGGGGTTTGGGTTTCACCATTTTATGACTCTCTCTAGACAGCCTTTCGCTTTAGGCACTTTTACCAAACCACATATGGATATACACATCTCATATCATTAATTACTAAATGGATTAAATGAAGTATTCTACTGCCGATGCCCGCCAATCAATCACTGTGCACTGACATTAAGTGCAGTCTAATCAGTGCCAGCAGATACTGGATAAGAATACGTATACTGCAAAGTTAAGGATACTTCTCCCCAGTGCCTCCAGTATTCTATGGTTGACGTTTCTCCATTAACCTTCTCAGTTTACTCCAGTCCAGTCCCCAGTTGTAGCTGCACTTGCATCACATGCTAATTCACCCAGAATGCACAAAAGAGAAATGGGGGGGGAGGAGAACACATTATGTCCATGAAAGGATGCACACCTGGGACCCAGCATGGCGGGAGGCTGGACTTCTGGACACATTCCCCCTCCCCCCCCCCCCGGTCGCCTGTCATCCTCTGAAGCCGTGCCAGAATCGCTGCAGGAGCTCTGCAACTTTGGAACTGTGGATTTTGGTGCGGCAGCACGCTCCAGGGGTCTGGCTCGGGCAGGCACACACATATAGGCCTCCTCATCACGCCGCACGGACCGCTTCAAGTCCGGAAAACGGAGAGGTCAAAGAGTCTGACTTGAGAGAAGAGGACTCAATGGAGGCTCGTTTGAGGACTGAGGGGGCGGGAAGTGAGGCAAGTGTTTGAGGAAAGGAAAAGGGAAGTGAGGGGGTTGAGGTGGGGGGGCATTAATTACTATGCAGAGAAAAAGTCCTTTATTCTAACAAACCAAGTTCAAAACACTTCATATACATTTCAAAGACCACAATGATCTAAAAGTGGCATATTACTGTCATTGTCATATTATGCAGATGTAGGAGGGAGAGCACTTGACTAGAGATAAAAGGTTTTTCCAATATGTTAATGTCAACTGCAGGAAATATGCAGACTTCTTATTACTTGTAAGACACATTGCTGTATCAACTTTTTTTTTTTTTTTTTTTTTTTAAACCTCTCAGCTTGATGCTGTGTTCACACCAAACGCAAACAAAATTATTTACATACAAAGTGAAGGCTCAGGGCGGCGCGAATACACAGAGTTCACCCAAAGCGGAAAGTAGATCAGAGGCGTAAATTCACTTTGCGTTTGGTGTGATAACATCATGAGATGCTCCTGCAGTTTTTCTCCCAAAATCTATACAATTGAATTAAATATGATTTTTGAGGAAGGGCCTGTACGATATGGAACAACTCAGGCAAATGGGTAAAGATATACTGTACATTGTAGGGCTGCAATAAACAGTTATAATAACTATAGATTAAAACATCAACTTTTCCCATTGATTGTTGTATCGCTTAGTCCATAAAATGTCAGAAAATAGTCAAACATACCTGCAACAATCTCCCAGAGCGAGATGATGCTTTCAAATGTCTTGCGTTGTCCAACCAACAGTCCTGGACCTGTTTTTACATAAAACAAAGGAAAAGAGCATTAGAGAAGCTAGAACCAGAGTGCAGTTAGTTTTTAATTAATACTTGACTTTCATTTTCTTTCAACAGATAACTCAATTAACTGTTTCAGCTCTAAACATTTCAACCCCATCTTCATCTATTAGATGTTATTAAATTACTTTTCCAATTCAAAGGTCCCCGTTTCCTTGAATTTTGTTGGTTGCTTTCTGAAACTTCTAATGTATTTGAAAAGCTGTCCTCAAATAAATAGGCTTCGTATTTCAGCATCATTTATTCTAAATGATTGTAATCGTAGTTTAGGTAGTTTCATCCCAACGTACTGAACTGTTGAGCTGAAATTGATTTATCTGCCAAGGTGAAAGGTGGGCTGTGTTGTTGTGACTGCTAGTGTGAAACTTGTCTAACTATTTCACATTGCATGCTCAAAGTGGGCAAACTATGAAATGGAAGCTGGTTTTTAGACCCAAGCAAACTGTCTGCTTGAAACCAGACCCCATATGGAAACAATCTCCAACCTACATTAGCGCTGTCCAAATCAGTTACCACAACGCATACCACTGCTACCTCGGAGGGCTACTCCAGAACTACAATGACGAACAACTGCTTCACGTGAAATCAGCCGACCTGAAGTAAGGTTATTGCACTTTAGCTCACCCTGCATATAAATAAACACCAGCAAGAAATACAGTCTGAGAACACAAACATGGCTGCTGAGTGACCTGCTGGTTTTGATCAATGTTCTGCTGAAAATCATTTCCTCTGGAAAAAAAAGAATCAAATTGGTCCAAATTGTCAACAGTACCGCACAGAAACATTGTGAGCTGCCCAGTAACGTCACATTCATCTTCAGGAAGAAATGTTTAAGACCTCAATGGCGTCGTATAAATCTTGTAGCGTGACCTGAGCCAGTGGAATGGAACATGAAGAATTGAGCTGTGAATCATCCAAACAGAGGCTTTGGAATCACAAACGTTACAACAGGATCTACAGGAGCACTGTGTTTGTGACTCAAGAGACGTATGCTATGTTTGATACCTGAAGTGGTTTTGTGGATATATTCTCTCTTTTGTATTAACACAGCCTTTAAAAAGAAATAAATCGAATGCCTAATGATTTCGGTAAATCTGACTTTTTGTCTCGTGCCACCAGCAGGTCAAACGCTTTTATCCTGTTAAATATCTACATGATAGATGTATACACAATTGTGAACACGCATCTATGTTCCCCTGAGGATAAATCCTACTGAGTTGTTGGATCCCCTCTTTTCCTTTAACACCAACTTGAGGTTTAACTAGTAGTTGGATTGCCATGAAATTTGCCATGAAATTTGGTACACACATTCATGTCCCTCTCTTTTGTGATCTTCTTACTGTTCCTCCCATCAGGTCAACATTTTCATTTCTCCTACTTTGTGATCAAATCCCTGCTAAACTAATAACATTTCCATCTGCCTCAGTTGTACTTTGAGTTTAGCATTTACTAGCAAATGTGAGCATGTTGGGGAACATAGACAACACCACCATGTTTCCATGCTAACGTTAGCATATAGCTCAAATATTCAGCACATGGAACAATGAATCTCTACAAATCCTTTAACTGAACCGACTACACTCAATAGCCATCATCACTGACTAATCCAGTAGCTTTTAACAACAGAGCTTCACTTATAGGTGACAATAGCAGATCAACCGTGACACACAGTGCGTTACTTCCTCGTTAAAAACAGAAAGAGACAAAAGAAACAATCACATTCTGATTAGCTCTGATGGGTTCACTTTCTGACGTACGTCCTGAAGTGCGTTTGAACTATGATGCGAATGCTTAGCTTAACAAAAAGTGAACAAACTACAGTAACTGATTCGAATCAGTAAAGTGATTTATGATTTCCACCTCTACAAACACTTCTGTACGTGGCAGAAGAAGTCTTTTTCTGTAAAGTGGACGGACAGGGGAGCAAACATCATTGTTGACTCTGGAGATACTGAGCTGATTAGTTCGAACATTATGTGTTTCTTTTTTTAACGTTTTTCGGAGCACAACTAAGCAGCTGTGGGTTTTCCATTTTTGCACGGGTAGGTACAATTTTGTTCTTTTCTTTCCCTCCCTCAGCGGTGGTTTGAGACCTCCAAGACGTGTACATTTAATCTATGCTAACTTCTCAGTTTGAGGCTTGGACAATTAAAACTAGACCATTGTGCTATATGCGAACGAGGTCAAATGTGATCAACTGCAAATGCCTAGATGAATTCTTTCTCTAAGGTCAAGCCAGACATTCCCACTGACACCAAACACGGTCTGACTCATGTAGTGCAAATGAGGCATTTGAAACACTTTGGCTATTCAGCTTTATCTCTCGCTATCTCATTTTCACATCTCTTGTAGGACATTCAACACATCCTTGCAGGATGAGACTGATGCTTTCTTTCGGCTGTGGCATTTCAGAGTCCGGGCCGCGAAAGAACCAACTGTATCCAATTATGTGAAGCTTAGTCTTGCTTAGTCGGAATCATAAGCCTGCTAGCAAGATAGCGTTGCTCGATAAAGAGCATCAAGAGCAGCTCTCACACCCTGTGGGCAGCTGGTTGATGAACTGTACAACAGAAATCTTTTCATTACCAAAACAAAAAGCATGAATGAGTTGTTGTTAAGTCAGTTTTGAAATGTCAGAAAATTCTGGCTGGAAGTATTAAAAAAATAAATATAAGTGATTGTATTCAAATTCTATAAAGTCCATTTACTAATCGATTAATGGGATAATCACCTCAGTTGTAGTTTGTAGTGAACAAAAGATGCAGAATGCAAATGTTAACCAGAATGACGAAATGGAATGGAAATGTTGTGCTTTTGGCTTTCACATATTGATCATTGGCCCCTGTTTTGTGGGCCCCGTGAGAATTCTGTCTTCCAATCAATCTCTGATGAGAATGCCTGCAGGTGGCAGGAGCCTACTTTCAAGATTTATGGTCTCCATACTTAAATTCAAAAGAAAATGATCCTTCATCTGCAAATTTCACCGCTCTGTCCCAAATGAATTGGCCTGCGTGTGAAAGTGAGCCCCCCCCCCCCAACCCCCCATCACCCCCAGGACACACTTTGACCAGCATGGGGAGAGGAAGTCCATGCATAATGCTTTGTGTTTATTTGAATTCCTAACAATTTCCATTGATTACACATAAAAAGACCACATTGGAGCCCCTTCATTATGCTTTCAGCGGGAGATAACCCAGTGAGCATTTTCTTCATACATGTAGTGTTACATCCACATAAAGACATAAACAACATTTAATATGCAACGGTTGACCTTTTCATTACCTTCAGTGTAGTTTTGTTATCAAATATTATGGATGAATAAATAATTATCTGACTTTATTGCACATCTTAAACC